CTGTATGCCATAATTAAGTGCCATAATTGATTAATGCCACATTACATAGTGACTATATGCCATAATTAAAGTGCATGAATACAAGAATAAGATACAATTATCCAAAATTCTCGATGTTTCTTTGCAATATCTTAGAGCAAAGAATTTTGATATATCTATTTTTTTCTTTACAGCACTCTGTGTTTTTCTGGAGGAAGGGGGAGATGCTAACATAACGTCAGCACCCTCATTTTTTATATTAATTTCCTGCGAATGAGTAGAATCAGTAAATTCGTGATTAGAGCAAAATTAGCGATAAATGAGCATTTAATTATGGCAGTTTAAATTTTTTTTAGTGGTAGGGTTGCTAAGTTCATAGAGATTCTTTATCTTACGCTGCTATCGAGACCTTGACGCTACAATCGGTCACTTCTTGCCCGGCCCAGCTGTTGAAAAATAATCGGCAGCTTTGCATTATCACGAGAGCCACGTATCGCATAATTTCAGACGATCCCATTCGAACTATGATCTGCGAAAAGTGTTTCTGAGTTTATAAACTTATTCTCAGCAATAATCAATAACAAGATATGTACATTACATTGCCGTTTAGGCTTATAAGGTCCAAAATTTAAATAAGTTCTAAAATTTAAATATTATTACACTCACCATTATGCATGAAGAAGTGTGCAATAAAAATCCTAATCCAACGTCGAAAAATAGAAACAACGCGATTGTAGATTCCATCATCTCTATAAATCTGGATCGATAAATATTAACAATGTAAATGAAAATTTTTTAGTGAAAGTTTAATAATAGACGGTACGTTTAAACATAGACATAGGTGAGTAAATATTGATATATATAAATAAACATGTGCTACATATTCCTGAAATAATTATTATACCAACAGTCTGATTCTTTCATGTAATTGAATGCAACGTCGAACATATTGACCGATTTCCTTGTGTATGTAATTACCATCTATCAATTGTAAATCATCGTGTATCGTTAAATTTTTCAGGCGATGACTGCAACAAGTATATCTATCTATTCTTATATATTCAATTTCTAATTCACAATTTATTATTTTTCGCGTAAATTTTACACGAAAAAAATAAGCTATTGCAGCATTGTTGCTAGCTATTGATTAATTTTATTAGCAAAATAAAATCTGCTATTTAAATAATGATTAACAAAATTTGTTACAACAAAAATCTTTTTTCCCGCGTATAATTATATCAACTAAATAATTATTTTAACTGATAGAATTTTCATTAGATATTAACCAATTCTCACCACAGTATGCCGTACATTCCGCAAATATGCTCCACCAGAAAAATGTACAATGTATCGGTAGCTACCGCAATCAAAGTACACATAACATAACCGACATATGAGATTAGCAAAATCGCGTAATAATATTTCTCTTGATCGAGAATGACAAAATCCGCGAGATGTGGCAGTTTTTTTGGTCTTGTTTCATTCAAGGGTAAGATGATGTCGAATAGAGGTGCGGTAAGAGGTATCAAAGCGTAGCACCATATAAACCCGATTACGCAAACTATAAATAGAGAAAGAAGGGGAAAAATTATATATTTTTTCTTTTTTCTAAATAAAAATTTAAGAAGCACAAAGCAATTAAATAAATAATTTTAATTGGTAAGTGTAAATTTATTAAAGCTAGTGTTTATTAGCCTTAAACTACATATTTGCGATTTCCGAGTTTTTTTTATTTTTTGTTTTATTTTACATATTTATGTTAAGATATATATTTTATAAAAATATACGTCTTTTTTAATTCATTGAGGGGAGATGTCGAACTGTCTAATAATGTTAATACTTAACCACGATATTCCAGTGCGAAATTGAATTCGTACTTGAATACGCCAACGTGAGCTTTCGACTCTTTTCGACGTGATGCGTTAAAATTTGCGTTTCCTCACTCGTCAGTAGATTGTCCCAGTCATTCTGCATATGTTGCAGAAGACCCTTAAACTAAAGCTCGTTTAAAACAAGCCGATTCGATACGACGGTAATGCTTACTATTTCGAAATTGACAGCTAAGTTGATGCTTACCATTTCAGAGTTGACAGTTAAGCTGATGATCTTCATGACACATATCACCGTGCCAGCTAGAGTTGGCATGAGCTCGAACATGCTGTCCAGATCATCCGCGTGCTTAAGCATATATGCAATCTGGTAATAAATAAGGAATTTATGACACGTTGATTATATCTCATACATATTTCTCGTGTATTCGGATAGAACGTAAACTCGCGTCTAGACGATCGCTTCTGTGACACACAAAAAGCATGACTATTATTCGAATTAGCGTATGTTAGGCAAACTTTCTTTTTAATGTAGAGCTTAATTGATATATTTTCATCAAAAATTCGTTCAATTCTAATATTACTATTATTCAGTGAACTACCTGCGGCGCGCACATTATCGTGACGCCGAATATGGCGAACGACTGAGTTAGAAGCTTCATGAAGGACGTTTGATATGGCCATAGGCCGACGAAAGACAGAAAGAACTTGTTAATCCTAAAATAGCGCGTGTCAAAGAAATCCATGGCTTTGTTACACTGTGAGTAAGAAATCCATAAATATTCGCCTCACTAGATCTCTCTTTCTCTCTCTTTTTTTTCGTCCTTTTTTTCTAAATATCTTTTTAATATTCCGTTAAAACCTTGTTCTGAGAAATATACTTAAAGGTGCTCCGTATGGCGGCGACATCAATACAGTACACGCTTTAGCTAGAAAAAAGATGAAACGTACGAAGAAATAGAATTTGTAATAATGTCTCACTGTACGTTTTAAAGCTTTGAAGACACCTCGTATTATTATTTCATGTTCTCGATGTCACGAAGTGCTCAAAAGACCGTATCGATTAACGTTCTATAGAAATTATAAGAAATAGGCATTGTAAAGTTATCGTAATGTTACTATAAAATATAGACATAGACGCAGTCGGTCTAATGATACTAGCATAATATACATGTTAATGTTTGTGTCTCTCATTTGTATAAAGAAATTCTAATAGTATAGTGTAATCAAGCAAATCGTCTCTTCGAGAAATATGATGCTGCCATGATAAACGTGTAAGTTTCGATAATGCACACCATGCGCCTTTAAATATACTCTTTAAAACGAGATTTTAATGATTTTACGAAAATTTATCGATGCGAAATAAAAGTACTTAACACATTATTTCTTAAGATACTCTATATGCATCTCTAGTTTTATAATTTTTTTGAATTGACAAAAAAATTGATTTCTGAAGCAGTGTATCGGTGTATGTCTTTAGGTAAAAATGGTTGCGCGTCACTTTTGCTAAATATTCAATTGTAGAAAAATAGATCGAGCGGGAAATAGGAAAAATAATATATATTATTGTGATAAATCCGCGAAACATTTGTGAAAATGTTTTGAAAAACGTTTACAGTGATCAGTGATTATTTAATCGATCGAGGAACACCGCCTTGGTATCGTAATAGTCTGTTACAAATTTTGACAGATCTCTTCGATTGTGTGAGAAAAAATTATGTGAAATAACATTTAAAAAATTATGAATTTTCTATAAAGCGAACAAAAATACAGCATATACGCACATTAATAAAACCTACTACAATCTAAATATTACAATCTAAATATTACAATCTAAATATTTAATAAGCTTTATGTGTTAGAAGAAAAATTAATTTCTTCTTTCACAAAATATCGAATATAAAATACATATATATTCGTATTTTTGATACGTCGCTTTATTATAATAATTACAATTGTGCTTAAGAAAACACAATGCTAACGACTGCTAATGATTTTTCTGGATAATTTGTGAAGATATACATAATTACAATAATGTTCTTATCTGACGGATAGAAAGACCGTGAAATATGACAAGGCAGTTTGCATCACCTTAAAATTGGATATTAATCTATTACAATATGTAAATATGTAAAATAACAAAAAATTTTTCATTTTATTTTCTATTTTTTTTATGTAAGTTAAACGTACCGAACTGCACATAGTCATTGACATAACGAACATCTTCCCAGCTGTGAGGGTACACGGGGTGAGACTTCTGTAAAGAAGTACTCTTAATAAACTTCTAGTTTTCATTGAAAATGTATGCCATGCTGAACCGTATCTAACAGACAAGATGGAAATTTAAATTTTTATTAACAAAATAAGTCATTTATAATTATGTAATGCTAGAAGAAACAACGCAAAAAGCATCGCTGTTCACAGATTCATTGTTTTGGTGAATGTCTTTTGCATGAGCAAGTTGTAAAAATTAACTCTTGGATTTTTATATTAATTGGCATTATATAATTTTAGCATTAATTGGTGCCACGATTTAATTTAAATGTTACAATCTTATAATTAGCAGAAAAATTATTTTAATTATAGAAAATTTAATACTATTGATAGATAGGCTTCAAATTCTCTTTAAAAATTATTTTGAAAAAATTGCGAAACAAATTTAAAAAGTAGTGATTGAAGATATTGAAAGAATATTCATCAGAAATTAAATATCACAAGATTAGGAACTTCTGTTATTTGCATCCAAAGATTCAAAAACAACAAAATCTAAAGATATACACACGAATCCTTACGCCTTATCGAATACTTCTGTGCTTTGATCTATCAGCAATTGTCCGGGAATACACATGCATATGAGATGAGTAAACACACCGCAAGTTATAAAAATATATCTTATTACCTCTTCAGTATGCTCCAGATTATTTATAAGCTGCAAAATTTAAGTATTGCGTTATAAAATATATTTTTCAGTGGAGCTATACGTATTTATGTGCTTCTTAAATGCTCACCTGTATTCCGATCACACTCAAAAGCAGCGTATTCATAGCAAGAAGAATAAATGTCGCTTGAGTGAACGTGGCGTTCAGTATCTTAACATGTCTAAAAGAGAGAGACAAGATCGGATAAAATAATTTAATATAAACAATCAAGTGAATATCGAATTAACAAATGAATGTTATCACAAGCGACAGAAATTTATCTAGTACAGACTCTAATGCAAGTTGATGTTTTTTTAAGCACGTTATCAATTCACTGTAATCATTGCCGGCAGAACCGTGTTTCTCCATCAATAGATGATAATGCGTTTTTTTGTGTATTATTTCGTTGTCGTTTGATGTGTCTATTTCGCCAGTAATACTTTCAAGACGCTGGCTTTGAAAAAGTAAATTCTTAGAAACACCGATTTGTAAAAGATATGTAATTAGAACAAGTACAATCTGTTTTAATTTTTTACTTACCTGATAGCTATAAATAGACTGCAAGCATGCAATACACATATTATATACGTGGTATCGACAGAGAATAAAATTGTTACTGTAATTACACTCAGAGCGTAAGAATGGAACAAAATTGGATAATAATACTTCTCTTTGTCCACTCTATATTCAGCCTGATACACGAATGCCAATGGCCGCGACTCATTTAGCGGATGTACGACATCCAAGATTTTTGGTATTAATGGAATTAGCAAATAAAATGTTATAATTATGATAAAATATACTGTAAAAAGAAACACACATATATATATATATATATATATAGCTTATATATTAGCTGTATTAAATGTCAAAAGAATGGTCAGAGTCTCTCTCTCTCTCTCTCTCTCAGCATATGTGTTTTATAATTCCATAAAATTTGTGTAAAAATATATGAAACTTTAAACTTTGAAAAATTAATTCTAATAAAAAAAAAAGATTTTATGTACACAAGAAAAGTTAAATATATTATTTTGGTTGTAATAATTGATGAGTCGATGACACATCACGATGTTTCTCTTTAAAGATTTAAGAACTATTTATTCTTGTACCTGCAAAATATCTTGTTACTTTTTGGCCAATACTAGCATAATATCTCAAGATATGGCGTTCTAATTCGCTATTAAAGAGCTCCCAATGTTCGTTCATAAGTTGCAATAGTCGTCCGAACTGACCAACAATATAAAAAAATAATAATAATAACAACAGCAAATACCGCACAATACACATTACCGATTCGTCGATTTGACAACTCACTTTGTGATTATTTACAGCGATATTAATTAACTTTGTGCTAGCACTCAAAAGCATAACAAGGGTAATTATACACTCAACGGTAACATTCATGTCACCCCAAGTGTCGTATAATAGAAGTACCTAAAAGTTAGCGATTATATCGGCAATATAAAAGCGCAAGCAAATGACAAATATACTTTCTATTAAAAAGAAAGAATTGAATTTACTTCAACAAAATTTGCATCTCGCGTAATTAATACGATATGTATACCTGAGTTACGAAGGTAGAATAGTGCACCGTTGATAAAAGGCACGGTATCAGCACTTTCAGTACTCTCCGCTGATACGGCCAGCCGCCGATTCGCGACAAAAAGAATTTATTGGTAGCATAGTATTTTTCCATTTCCGGATTCATGTCGTACGCGGGTTATTGTGCAAATGTACCATCGCGAGACAGCGTGCCCCTTGTTAAATGTATGGTATGAGAAGAAAGTGACATAGACGAGAAGAACACATATGATTACGATAATATTGGATTGTCAGTTCGAACAATACCGGATTGTCAGGCGTATACAAGCCGTGAAAGGTACTCGGTACATATTAAATTGATCGATGTTGGGGATGTTGCGTGCTATGTAATTTGCAACAGAACTTTGGTCACCTCGTACGTAGAAATTACAAATTGTCTACGAAGTGAGTTACGAGGTAAAAATATTTTTATTTCTCGCAGAGAGAAAAGCGATTTCATTGTTAGATATGCATGAGACGTGTTACTTAATAAATATATTGAAATACGGGATGCAAATGATGCAACTGACCATCGACGCATATTTTATCGGCGGATTCGTGGGTTTTAACACGGCTGTGAACTAATCTACATTACAGTATTAATAAGCAAGTCGCAGTGCATTCGATTTAAGCGTGCGGACCAATTAGTGCTTTTCAATAAGATTAATTAGGAGCTTTGATAAGAGAGAAGAAGGAAATTCTGTATTATCATATTTTAAAAAAGTAAGGTTAAAAAGTAACTTAAGAGACATAAAAATATAGACTATACCTAAGCAATTTATATAGATTGCATAATTTGTGACAATCTCGATTATTCATTCATTTTGTTTTTATTTTTGTATTTTTAATTGGGAAACTTTTAACTACTACAATTATCTCTATTTTATCTTTAAATACAATTTTTTATTTTGGATATTTTTATTATTCTTCTCATTTTATCAATTAGATACATCAGAATTTTGAAGAAAACTGCGATGTTATGTTTAACAGATATGTTAAGTATCAATGTATAATATAGGCATTGAATAAGTATTTGTTTAACAAATCATATTTTTATTTGCATAAAGGTGCATGAGACGTCAGTTATTTATTATGAAAAATTGCAAATACTTATCGGAAAGATACCAACACCATGAAGTAAGACATTGCCGTCTGTACTATCTAAAGAAATAGAAATTATTACGGTGTTTACAAGTATACTTATATATAGCATCGTATACGGTAAATTTCTTTTTTATTATTTGTACCGTGCAAAAGTTCTCCAGTGACATTACGAATTGTTTTCCAGCCATTATCTTGCACGGTATACGGCTTCTTATTAAGATCAGTACAATGTCCTTCTGTATCTGGACAGGCATATTGTACCAGAAGCATGAATACCTGCAAATCTGGAGCTTTTAATATCCGATGTATCCGCGGCAATGCATCCGCGCTCCGATTCTCACTTACGTTGATTCATGAACGTTCGAGCTTTGATCCAGCAGAAATTGCGCCATTAAGCTAAGAAAGAACAAGTGGGTCAGTTGGCCACATATGAACATAATGCACATCGCCATCCCGTCCCATTGGAACAACCTGCTCACTAGCTGGAGGAGAAGAGAGAGAGAGAGAGAGAGAAAGAGAGAGAGTGAGGAGTGAGACATGTCCACTATATAAAATTATTTTTTCACTTCAGACTTACTTGAACTGCCGAGATACTTATTACGACTAGGTTCATGCCCAATATGGCGAGGAAACACCACGTGTAAATGCAGTGTAACAGTTGCACACAGCTAATTAACGAAAAATATATAATTTAAAATGTATTTAAGAAATTTAAATTAATGTCGTATTGCAAAAATATACGTTACTGCATATAGAATATCCTTTGTAATTTTTAAACGTATATTTTTATAGAATATTTTATATTTTCTATCGAGATTAATGATTGTATGTATACAGCGTATTTTATTAAATGTGTCTTACTTAAATTACAAATTCTTTAACTAATCTTTTCTCTTTGTAAAAAGAAGATGCGTCTAATAAGGAACATCCTTTGTATGAATGTATATACCAACTGTATTGCTCTTTGATGATTAATGACGCATTCTCTCACGGCAGCAGTTTGTTCCTTTAATTTTAGCTGCTGGTTTTCATATTTCACATAGCATTTAACATTATAATTATAATCCTCTAGAGATTGCATGACATGTTTTCTGATTGAATCGGCAACGTGCTCCAATTTATGTCTACGGGTCAAACGATTATTTTATCTTTCATGCGTGAATGTTTTACATATTTATCTTGGAGAAATAAAAAAAGTATTTTAGGTGTAAATAAGTTTATCTAAATAACATAACTATTTTCTCTAGAATTGCACGATCTCTTAAAATCTTGATCTTTCGATCTCGTGAGAGAGGCTTTTTTTTTAGTAAAACTAAACTTTTATTTTCTTTAATTATTTTTGAAGAAGACAACTATTTAACATTTTCATCTAGCTTGTCTCTCAGATCGCCGCGGATTGTCGGTTGTGAGGTAATGTACAGTAATGTCGCCGCCTGCGATGAACTGCAAACTGACGGGATTATCTCAGGGTGCTCACCTCACTATCGCAAACAAGCAGCAACTGTGAACGGTAAGCGTAACGTACATCAGATCGGCGCCAATGATATTCAACATAGTCGCCGTCGACGTCGTACTGCTGTGCAGCCACAGCCACAGCCAGTGAGTCTGAACGTCAATCCCGTAATCGAGGTCGTAGGCCAGGCTCCTCTCGCGCGTTTCGTTGTGGGGTAAGATGACGTCCAGCAACGGCGAGATCATCGGCATCATGATAAAACACATGAGTCCGTTACACAACATAGCTGAAAAGGCAGGTGTAACAATACACGTACACTACACATACGTTCGCTACGCCCTCCGCAGCCGCGAATCCTTCATACTTGAGTAAATGATGCACAACGTTCTTGCCTTCGACGTGTAATTCACTAAAATCTTATACTCCTCCGTCGTCGGATTTATTTTCCAGTCCGTCTCAATCTGGTGCAGCAGCTCTTTCACCTGAAAACCGGCATTTCATGAAGAAGACGCGCGGCTTTAATCGATTTGTTAACGCATTTATACGCCGTATCATACTTTCTATTCGACGTTCTACATCACGAGCGAGCGAGATCACCTAAGGACAATGAACGTGTAAAACGATAACGATATAATTAATACCTCCGATTCAAATCGTACGCTGGTCATTACTTTAGCCGTGCTCACTAAAATGATCACGATAGGAGGTAAACACATGCACATGGCGTCGATGTCCTCTCCCCACACGTCGTACAGTCTCTTCGCCTACATCGATAATATAGGAATAATAAATTTGAATATTTCTTCGTCGTATCTTTTAAGCGAATCGTTAACACTGTTGAATTCATGGAATTAACTCGCGCGAAATCTCGCCGAATCTTTCTCAATATTGAGTTAAGATAATACTTTATACGCGCAGTCGTTCGTACAAAACGCTACATGTTTCCTTTACCTGAGGCGGAACAAACGTGAACATTACGAACATGCTGACCGATTGGATGATCTTTTTTCTAAACTGCGACTGATACGGCCAAATACCGACCATCGAGGCGAACAGTTTCGTTACACTGTAATAGCGCGTGTCGAACACACTCATGTTAATTCGCCAACGTATTGGAAATTTGTGGGGGGGAAGAAGTGCACGAAGGGGGACGAGATGCATCGGCGAGAGGGACTCGGCTTTATTGTTAGTTGTACAGAAATCGTCAACTGACAATACGCACGTGTCCCCATCGCGTCATCTTGACAAGCTGTACTTATTGTTAGCGGAAAATTGCATGATCCGAAATGAATATGAATTTATCATGCTCCAACAAGGTATGAAAATAACAAAGCGGGAGAAACGGATAAAAAAATACATATGTATAACCGGAATAGATATTTCTAATACATAAGTAAGGAGAAGTATAGTCACTTTTGAGGAATTCAAGGAAGAAACTCTAATTCTGAGAGACCGTGCGCAGTTCAGTTTTCAATAAAGGATTTTATAGTATAGAGAAAGAATTGCCGATTAAGTCTCGCTGTGTGAGATGCAATAACACGCGTGAGTACACAGTTCTGCAAGGAATTTAATTGTACCTTCTTAATATTAAAAATAAGGTTGAACAATTTCAGGAAGCTGCCGATTGTAATGATCGATGAATAAACCGTGGACGCGTCATGCATATGTACGAGACGTATACGGGATGTAGTAATCAAGTTTGACACTTTCGATATTCGAGTAATGATACATTGTCAGTTAGCCGTCCAGGTATCCGTTTGTTTGGAGGAGCCGTTCGACCAACGGAAGCCCGTGGCGTTATCGATTCGAGCGTACGAGATGATTAGCGCTTTTTCGATGCGGTAGTTTATAAATTCAAGACTTTGACAAGAAAGCCAAGTTATACTTACAACCAAGCTATGCTTTATCGTGTCTCTTTTTTTTTTTACAGAATTTAGAAAATCACGAGAATTTAGAAAATGAATTGGAAATGAACAGTTTATTTGTAAGTTGCATAATTACGATAATCTTATTACTTTGTATTTATTTTTTTATTAATTAATTGGAACTTCTAAGTTTTTTATCTTCTCTTACCCCTTGCTTAGTCTACAGAACAAATTTTCAATCCTGAATGTCTTAATTATTCTTTATTTTATTAACGTTTACATAAGAATTATGAAGGAAATTAATGATAATTATATCTTACAATCAGACAAGTGTATTAAATATCAATATATGTATAAATATTGTAGTAATTAAAATACTAATATTAAATAATAAATAAATTTAAATTTTATTTAATAAATTATATTTTTATTTAGTCCGAAGATGTATAAAAAAACATTAGTTATTTTAATGCAAAAATACTTATCGAAAAGATACCAACGCCGTAAAATTTCTTGGAAAATCCATTTGCACTATCTGAAGAAAGAGAGAGATTATTGAGCTTACAATATCTAATGACATATTTTTATCGTAAACATTGGTACTATATAAAAGTTGCTTAGATGTAAATAGGTTTTCAGTCATCTTATCTTGTTTGGTGATATCACTTCTTATTAAGATAAGTATAATGTATCCTTCTGAATTTTGATTCTGAATCTTGTACATTATTCCAATAAACAAAATCTTAGGAATATACTAGCGATTTGCCAGCAAGTTGAATTAGCATAATATTGCAGCGGATTGACATTAACTGCATTTTCATTAAGTTCATGATCTGCCAGTAGATTCTGACAACATAATCTGATAGTAGATTGCAGAAACCAAGCAAAATCTATCATTTTGCGATCATTTAAATAGAACGTATGACAGATTTCGCTCAATTTTTGCAGTCCATCTGCCGTCATATTCTATTAGGAAATTCTATTCTGTTTCTACTGACGTTTTATCGACAAAATTTGTTGATAAAATTTGTCGATTCATAAACTTTCGATTTTTATTATAGTACAGACCATGAAATTTTTGGGCTATATCTATAGGAAAGACGTTTATCCATGTTCGGGTATAACTTATACACTTTTGTACATAATTTCACTGAAAAGATTGTGATATATGTTTTTTCTAATCCAATCGAGTTATGTCACATTTTTTTATATTAATAACTTTCCATTTTCGCACGCATTTGCTACTTTTTTTTTTATTTGCTATTTATTATTTAGAACAGCTCCATTTCGCGAACACGTGGCTAATACTGTCGTATCGCGCACGTGTCGAACGCATTGCACTCGCAAATTGTTCGAGCGATAAACTATTTCCGCGTAGTGTAAAAGAGTCGATCGTGGAATCAATTGTTACGATGAAAAGGGTTTCAGGTGCGTGCAAATAATTGCGCACTATATGCCATGATGGCGTAATGACGAACGTTCATCCTGCGACACAAGGAATTGTTAATGTCCCGGCGCTTCGCTTGGTGGCGAGCGTATACGCAGAGTAAAGCAAGTATCATTGATGTAGTTCGCATTTCTAGTATTTCTAAGAATGACCGAGCGAAAGGACATTTGGCAAAGTCGGTATTACGCGATTCCTAGATTATACATGACGTTAGCAGGACTATGGCCGTACCAACCGATTCACAATAGATATCTGCATTTTGTACCAACATTTACGATCTGTTCGATCATCCTTATACCCATGGTAGTACATAATCGAGAAATTTATTTGAGAGGAATTAACGATCGAGAGGAATTAACATGAACCTTAGGAAAGTTTTTATTTTCTTCGTGTTAACATTTTTCATATAAAATCAATATTTTTTTTTATTTTTATATTGCGAATTTAATATATTATAGAATTTACGACACGTTCTTTGAATCGCACGACAGTGCTCAATTATTAATCAGCTTGTTTCACACGAAAATATATTATCTTTCTTTTTAACGAGAAATATTTTGAGTTTTTCTAGCTTTTAAGTACATATTAATTATCACTGTCAATGTTTTATAACATTGATATCAATATTTTACACAGCTACTGTATGTCCACATTGCCATGACGGATCTCGATGATCTATTCGAGTGTATGCCAACGATACTAATCACGATAATATTCAGCTTTAAATTAGCGAGCTTGATGGCAAACAGTGAGAAAGTAAATAATGCGACTATAATACATAATTTTATTAATACGATTAACGTCACGTAGTCAAATTCTCAATAGCCGATAATAAATATCATTGTTATCATCGTGAAAAAGAGACGGGATGTGTTTGTAGATAAAAGCTTGTCTTAAGACGATAGAGGACGATTGGCTGTCGTTAAATACGGACAGCGAGAGAGCTATTCTGCAACGACATACTGTATATGGTCAATACCTGACTATATTTTACGCAGGTGCGTGAAAAAGAAGTTGAACTAAGTTTTGGGTAGAAAAATTCTTGGCGGAAGGAGGATGGGGGGGGGGGGGGAGAAGTGCACGAGAGAGTTGAAAGTTTGCTAGAAAACTCTTTTCCAGTAACTTAATCGAACCTTTCAGCGACGATCGTTCCATAAAATCACGTCTTTCCAGCCTTTATGGTGACGACGGGATTGCTGTACATGTTCAAGTCAATTGTGTTAATAATGATAGAGGATACGTCGAACTCGACCAGACTGGCCGTAACGAAACTACCCTTCCGCGTGGAATACGGCTACAAGATAGATCAGTACTTCTACCCGATACTGATTCATTCTTACCTGACCGTCTACTCTCACGTGACCGCCACGATCGCTGCTGATACCTTTTACTTCGCTTTGATCCAGCACGCCTGCGGGATGTTCTCGGTCGTCGGGTAAGAGTATCAGGAAAGATGTTTTAAAAATCTGAGGTAACACAGGCAAACGTTGAGTTCGAGCATTTTGATGTGTGTGACATCATCTATTTCGGTCCTCCTTGTATTCTCCTCGATCTCAATTTCGATTGAAATTTAAATTTGACGATCGCGATCCCGCGATCTGAAAATATAATTTGCCAAGAATGTTATGATTTTAGCGGCTTCCAGACACATGCTGGAACATATTGGCGAGGATATCGATGCAAATTTTGATCTGAAGCCTAACAAGATTAATGACGTAAATTACTACAAAGCTTTCAATTGCTTACGCAAGCATCTGCATGTAATAGAGTGCGTGTTATATTTTATTTTAACAATATTGTTCGTGTTCTGTCGTTTGTAACTCAAATTTCGTCGCAGATTCGCGGAACTGATCGAGTCCACGTTTACAAATATATTTCTAGTCAGCGTTAGTTTAAATATGATTGGTGGCAGTATATGTGGTATTCAGGTATGCGCACTGATTTCGTTATGTTGAAGATTGTTGCAGCGAACGAGAAGATTTTTTTAATGAGAATTAACATTTTGAAAGTACTAGCTATTTATTATCTTCCGATTCGGATGTTTTTTTTTCTCAAATCATTGATAACTCTTTATATAATTTATATAATTTAATAATACGGAGAAAATACGAGAGAAAATGTATGTTTCAGGTGTTAATGAATCTAAACGATGCGAAGGACATAGTAGCGCCCCTCGCTATCTACGTTGCTCAACTCACCCATCTTTTTTTTCAATTTTGGCAGGCTCAGTTTATTGGATTACAGCGTCGTTCCGTACGATTCGATGTAAGAAATCACAAATTCTTTCAGAGCTCAATTTCAGAATTCTTGTTATCTTTCGAAACGTTGACGTTCCAAAAGTCGAAAAGAGGAACTGTAAACATGAACGAATTTCTTAGTTTTACCAGTATATTTATTAATCACGATTTGAATCATAGTTGCAGGGCAAATTGGTATTACACCTCGGAAAGATGTAGAAAACTTTTGCTCCTAATCATGAATAGAACCATATTACCATGCAGAATAACTGCTGGCAAAGTGGCGACTCTGTCCATTGAAAGTTTCGGCGTGGTAAATAAAATCTTATTGTTTGATAGATTTTTCAGCTCTTCTTTGCAACTTTGGTCTTAAGATGTACTTCGTGATTTTATTCCTTCGAAGGTTCTGAAAACGTCGATGTCCTATTTCACGATGCTGCGCTCCTTCCATTGACAGTTTCAACACGTGCGTGTGCAGAGCAGTTCGTTAAAAAAAATTCTACAAGCCACGTGAATCGTCAGTGATACATTTACGCGACGATTGACCCGAGTTATTTTAACTGTCAAAAAAATCGAAAATACAAGATTTTATCTCCAACAAATCTCGTACCGTTTTTTTTTATCGCACTCAAGAATTGTGAGCACTGTAATTCAATAGAGAAACGCCGCACAATTCCTCTTTCGCCAATAATCGACTCAAATTGTCCAGAAATAAAATTCTCCTAGACGCAACTTAATAACTCAATTTAACTATCAGCTTTGTTCGATGCACGGCAAGAACGCAATTGATTCCGAGCATTATAGCGAGATACGCAGTTAGTTGTCACGCTTCGCGAAACCGCGATCGAAAGGCGCAGTTGCATAGTAGCAACTGAGAGGGGTAACTATAATTGTACGCCGCTGGAAATAATTGCGTAATGTCATAATTACGGCCATGCAGTGTGTCGCGACACAAGGAATTGATAATAGCCGTTCTCGCGCAGCTTGCCGAGTGACGAGTATTCACAAGGAATCGTTGATAGCTCGCGTAGTCCTGAAAATGGACGAGCGAAAGAACATTTGGCAAAGTCGCTTTTATATAGTTCCTAGAGCGTACATGAGCATGGTAGGAATATGGCCCTATCATGCGTTTCGCGACAGGTGTCTTCTCTTTGTACCGATGTTTACGTTTTCCATCACCATTCTTGTACCTCAAGTACGTACAGGTCACAAATTATATCCCAGCAGCGTACTAGTCTCATCCGGATGTATTAATAGATATGTTTACATTAGATTATACATTAATTAAGTATAATGTATATAATATATTTTTTATATTATATATCTTTTAAAATATAATACACATTCTGCATTATTGACGTAATAGCTACTGTATCTTCTAATCGCCGCGGCGGATCTCGACGATGTGTTCTCGTGCACCCCGTCGATATGGATCACCATAATATTCAGCTTCAAATTAGGGTGGTTGATGGTAAACAACAAGAAAGTACGTGACAATCGCACATGAGTCCAATGATGCTGTTAGCATGATAGAAATTTTGGTCGAAGTTTGTTAATGGGAAATTTTAGGGTTGATCTTTCATCGATATTCCGTGTGTATATGTTCGCGTGTCGGTTTTCTTCTTATCTTTTTATATAGATGCAATTCTTAATTCTGGTACGGTATAATCGACGTCGCGAAAAAGACGTGCCTTAATTATATTTACAGTTGAAGACCTGTCTTAAAACGATGGAGGACGACTGGTTGTCGTTGAATACGGATGTAGAAAGGTCCATTCTACGACGGCACACCGCGTACGGGCGGTACATCACTCTGACATACGGAGGTACGTCGGTGAAGAAATTTTGACGCACTTCTCGAAACCCACACAGCCGAAGCACCCTCGGTGCACGCTCGGTCTAACGCTTACGTAACTCGATTTCCAGTCTTCATGCAGTGCGTGGCAATTCTTCTCATAGCGAAGTCGGTCGTGGTGATGCTGCTGGAGGATACCTCGGACGCGACGGTATCCTCCCTGGTGGCGGAATCGAAGCTACCCCTGCGCGTGGAATACGGCGAGACGTTAGACCAGCACCTGTATCCGATGGCGGTACACTGTTACCTAGCCGTGTTCTCCCACATAAGCATCACGATCGCGGTCGATTCCTGCTACATCGCTCTGATCCGGCACGCGTGCGGGATGTTCGCGATCGTTGGGTAAGGGTATCATCGCTCGAGATTGATAAATTAGAAATCGAAATATGATGAGAAGGGTGAACGTGTGAGACCTGGTTTATGCTTCGGTCTTAATCCTAAAATCCTTAGATGTCAGCCAATAGAGCTGCATGCCCTAACCAAAGTCGGTATTTTCACTCTCTAAATCTGAATCAGTGGAAAAGTACTGAAAAATCACTGATTGAGTCAGTACCTGTAATCTAACTATAATTTCACTGTTAATCAGCTATAATTAAACTATTAATATTAATCTGTAATTTCACTGATTTACCAGTGACATACTTGGGACTGATGCATGCAATGAATAACCATTGATAATCAGTGACTATGCACTGATTCATATTTAGAGAGTATTCGTTGAATTTTAGGATTTTAAGATTAAGACCGAAGCATAAAGGCCTGAACGGTATACCGCGTCCATCCGTTCGACTTGTGCGAGTACATACATTCTAATAACTTCGTCGTCCATCCCGATCTCGGCCTCGAACCCAGCCCGAATGACAAAGCGGCTGGTTTCGATCTCGCCCAGGAGCATTATCATTTGGGCGGCTTTCCAGACACACGCTGGAACACATCGGCAAAGACAGCGATGGCAATTTCGAACTGAAACCCGACAAGGTAAAAGACGTCAATTACAACAGAGCTTTGGGCTGCCTGCGCAAGCATCTGCATGTGATACAGTGCGTGTTACTGGCTGCGTAGAGACATACTGCACACAACTTTACGTCTCCGTGTTACCTTTTTAATCGCGTTGAGCCTTTTTCGCGATTTCGCAGATTCGCGGAACTGATCGAGTCTACGTTCACAAATATATTCCTGGTCAGCGTTTGCCTGAACATGATTGGCGGCAGTATGATCGGCATACAGGTATGAGAATTTGTTTCGTGCTACATCTCGCAGTAAAATTTTCCGCCAAAGAGAATTTTGCAATCGACGAAAAGTCAATCTTTGACAGAGATAATTTGTATCTCGTGAAAATTTTTGAAATCATTCTGAAATCAGTTATACTTCAGGTGGTCTTGAACTTGAACAACGCGAAGGATATCGTAGAACCCTTTGCTATCTATATCGCTCAACTCATTCATCTCTTCCTACAATTCTGGCCAGCTCAATTTCTATTAGATTACAGCATCCTTCCGTACGAGTCGATGTAAGAACATAATTTCTTTTAGCGCATTATACAATTATCGTAATTTTTCTGGGCATGATACACGTAATTCGTAATCATTTTTTCAATTTTTTTTCACAAACACGATAATGATAATAACATTTTTTAGCTTTATTATATACTTACTTCTTCCTAATCAAGAAGGACCTTGAAATAATTTCCGATCGTTGTAGTTGTAGATCAAATTGGTATTACACTTCGGGGAGATGTCGAAAACTTCTTTTTTTAATTATGAATAGAAGCGTGTTACCATGTAGAATAACTGCTGGCAAAGTCGTGCCTTTGACTATTGCAAACTTTGGCACGGTAAGCAAATTGCACTATATTGCAATACTACTATTTACGATTCTATATCCTTATAATCGTAATCTCTTTCTGTGTTCAAAAAGAACTTTGATTTAATTTCTCCTAAAGGTTCTGAAAACAATGATGTCTTATTTTACGATGCTGCGTTCTTTCAATTGACGACTTCAACGCATTTCTGCAGTTTTTTAATAAAATTGTAAAATTCATTTACTCAACATTTACTCGTGGTTTGTCAATTTCAGCAAGCGATCGGTCTGGGTTACTTTAAAGAAATCGAAAATACGACGAAATATATTATACGCCAATAGATCTTACATCTCTTTTATTACAAATGACTTAATATATTAAAAAGACTTAGAAAGTATCGTACGATTTTTTTTATAATAATTGCCTAGGAAGAAAATTTTTGTAGTCACAACTTGAAAATGTGTATATACATATAAAAGATTGTATAGCGATATCTAAAATTGATTTTTTTTTTATCTAGAAATGATGTCTTACCTATATGTGATTTTATATATGATTTTATTCTTTTAAAAAAATTTCAAAAAACTTTGATATTTTCATGATGCTGCGCTCCTTTTATTAATAATTTTTTTTTCCATGCGTGCAGGCCAGACTGTGAAAATTCTAAAAGTCATCCGCACGTGAATTATTATAATACATTTACATGACAATTGATGATTTGACAATTTTATTTTAATTGTCAAAAATACCGAAAATACAAGATTTGACGCCAATAAATCTCGTACCTTTTTTTTTATTGCAATTAAAAATTGTGAACGTTATAATTCAGAAGAGAAATACCGCACAATTTATTTTGCAATAATCGATCCAAAATTAAAATTCTCATAGGAACTTGATAACTTAATTTATTATCAGCTTTTTTCCATAAACGGTAATAGTTCTATTGATTCCAAACACATCGTATAGTTACTATAATTAATTATCACTTTCGCGAAACTGCAATCACAAGACACAGTTGCATAGTTACAACTATGAAGGGTGACATAATTGTATGTCGCTGGAAATAATTGCGTACTCATTTCGTAGTAGGTATCGTAAGTACCGCCGTGAAATTACTACGACACAAAGAACTGATAGCTGTTCTCGAAACTTCCCATGTGATGAGAGTTTTCACAAGGAATCGTTGATAATTCGTAGTTTTAATGTGAAAATGCACGAGCGAAAGAACATTTGGCAAAGCTGTCACTTTTACATATACATAGTTCCTAGACTATCCTAGAAGTTCGAAAAGATAGAAGATAGTCTTATACTTATATCATATATTTCGTAAATGACAAGTGTTTACAGATTCGCATAACATACGGAATATAAAAGAAAGCATCTCTCCGGAGAGAAACGACAAGCAACGCGGCTTTAAAAATGTAAAAGAAAAAGGATTGAAATACAGGCAGGTTAATCGCTCACTTTTTCTTCGGCGCAATTACGATACTGTTGCCGAATGGGGGATGAAAGAAATCAATAAATAATCTCCCGCAATTTGTTGAATGTCAAACGTTTTGAATGTCGACGTTCACATGGAATAGTTGATACAGCAATCTTCTTATTCCAAAAAATGATCGACGAGAAAGACGTTGGGCAAAACCGACACAGCGTTCTCAGATTATACCTGACTATTGCAGGATTGTGGCCTTATCACAGACTTCGCAATAGATGTATTTGCTTCGTGACGTTGTTTGTACTCAGCTTTAGTATTCTGATACCTCAGGTATAGCCGTCGAAAGATTTGCCGGAGAAAAATTCTCTACAGTCTGTTTATTGCGCTGCCAAAGTTATTGACTGTTATATGTTTTCTTTCGTTGTATGTACGACTAGAAGTTTAACATATTGTTACATAGTTATTCATCAAACTGTGTGACAAAAATTACATACGCATACATATGTCAGTTTTTATCTCGATTTTTAAAATGTATTTGTATAATTTTAACATATCACAGAAGAAAGGAAAATAGGCAAAATTTATTAAAATTTGGTAAAAATTAAATTAAATTTTTGTAATTTATCAGAAGAATGAAAATATTAGATGTATAAATATGTGGAAAATTATAAGAAATTAAATATATACGATGTGCATATAATTCTTTTAAATTCAAGAAACACATATGATCAGTTTTTCTCGTAATTGCGTTTTACTAAAATCTAATGCAGATACTTTATTTACTAATCGGCCCGATCACTCTCGATGACATATTTGAGTGTGTGCCATCAGCAATCATCAGTTTAATATTCAGCTTTAAAATAATGGTTATAATGTTAAATAGCGAAAAAGTAAGTGATGAATTTTCAGTCTTTCATTACAGCTATGTAAAGAAATATTAAAATAGTAAGAAATACGCGAGCGTGTGTTTTAGGTAAAGATTTGTTTTAACATGATACAAAAGGACTGGCTGTCACTGAATACAGATGGAGAAAAGATTATTTTACAACGACATACTAAGTATGGACAGTACCTAGCAACATTTTATGCAGGTGTGTACATTGAATATACGCAGGATTGTAGAAACTTACGTAAAACATTTTGCATTAAATACGTAACATTAAATCTCGAAGAAAATACATAAAATTACATAATGAAAATATCTATTGCTAAAAAAAAAATGAACCTTTTTGCTTCGAATATCGACATACGTATGGCTCAAAAATTTTGTCACGAATCGTATCGTCTTCCCTGTTCAGTTTTCATGCACTCGACGGCATGCCTTTTCGTGCTTAAACCAGTTATGCTGACCTTGATGGTGAATGACATCCTCAATGTGACAAAATCTTCCATACCATTCGCATCGAGATTACCCTTTCACGTGGAATACGGCGAGAGAATCAATCAGTACGTATATCCGATAGCGGTGCATTGTTACACGGCCGTGTTCGCTCACTCCTTCGCCACAATCGCGGTCGACGGCTTGTATTACACTTTGATTCAACATGCTTGTGGAATGTTCTCAATTATCGGGTAAGAATAATCTCTTTAGAAAAAGATGCCTTTCTTAAATTGCTATAGATTTATAATGTGAGATTTCGTATTCTCAAAATTTTGGTTTGCCAAAAGCATCGACATTTTTTGTGGCGTTATAGAAACGTACTGGAGAATACTGGCAAAAATAATGCGAGCGATTTTGACGCAAAACCCGACAAGGCAAAAGACGACAATTATAACAGAACTTTACAATGTTTACGTAGACATCTCGTTGTGATAGAGTACGTATGAAGAAGTATCGCGTAACAGCATCCGTGTCCACATTTTTTCCGTTGATATTTACGTATAAAATTATAATATAGTTTAGTGTCCTCATTTTCACAGATTTACGGAACACATTGAATCTTTGTTTACGGAGATATTTCTTTTAAATCTTAATTTAAACATGGTCGGTGGCAGTTTAGCCGGGATACAAGTACGTATTAATTTTTCTTGTTTTTATTAAAAATAATTTTGGAGCGTTCGAGGATTTTTGATACATTTCGACGACGGCGAACACGGAAAATTTAAGAAAAATAATATCATCTTCAGTAACCGCGATATGAAATTTCCACTAGCCGGTGCGACTGCCGAAAAAGAAGTACGAAAGCAGTTAAATGTGAATTTTAGGTGTTGATGAATTTAAACAAAGGTATAAATGACATCGCCGGGCCCGTAACTATCTATATCGCGCAACTGATTCATTTATTTCTTCATTTCTGGCAAGCTCAATTTCTACTGGACTACAGCGTCGTTCCGTACGAATCTATGTAAGAATGCAAATTTATTTTCAAAAGTCAGTAGTCTAATTATCTCATGTCCTTTATTTTTTTTTCTTTTTCATCGAGGAAAACTCAAATCAAAGTTCGATCAAAAATACAATCAAAAGTATTTTAATGCTCTTGGTATATTATTTACAATTTCTATTAAATAATCGCTCGCAGAACTATATTTTAATTTTAATGTCATTGCAATTCCTTCATATATAATATACAAGACAAATCAAAAGATTTTGCGTTTGAATGATAATGAATACAAATACTTGCTATTTATCGTTGATCGTTTTGATTTTAATATGTCTTGTTTCGCGTAATAGCTGCAAGGCGAATTGGTATTACACTTCGCAAAGATGTCGAAAACTTCTTCTACTAATGATGTGCAGAACGATAACGCCATGCAAAATAACGGCTGGTAAATTAGTGATTTTATCCATCGACACCTTCGCCACGGTAAGCGTAAAATTGCATTATTACATTTTTTTTCAATTTTTATTGACTCTTTTATTGCCATTTATGGAGAAAACCTCTTTTTTTCTTAAAGGTTGTGAAAACTTCTCTGTCTTATCTCACCGTATTCCGTTCCATCCAGGATTGATTTAGCACATCTGTGTATTTAGTCGAAACCCCCTAAATTAAAACACTGTTCTCTCTAATGCAATAAAAATCCAATGTATTATTAGTAACTCAAATTTCTCTTCAATTTCACGGTAGCTTCTATGTGTTGTATAATTAAAGCGGCGTCTACAATGGATTTAAGATTTAAAATTTAAGAAAATTGACTAATCACAATCGATTATTCTACTCACGTGAGATGAATAATCGACCATAATTGGTCAATTTTCTTAAATCGTAAGTCTTGAGTCTCATTGTAGATGACACTTAAGCTACGCGTTCGTTTAAATGTTTTAAGATACAATACATATCCTGAGATGTTATACGTCCATGAGGAATTTTGTGTCTCTAGGAGAAACGTGCAACAATTTTACGATCGATCTACTGTAATTGTCAGAAATGAAGATGTGAAGAGAAACATTTTAGCATATACGAAAACGTGTATGATATTACCTATATATAAAGGGATAGGTACGGCTCTCGCTCTTGTATGTCGACAATTACCTTAATTCGTACATATACGTATTCGGATGGGAATATACATCGTATAGAAAACAGAACGATACAGTTGAGCCTCAAGGCATGAAAAAATGTAATGTACGATAATTTCATATACTGACTATACACAAACACTATTTCTCAAATTGTTCATAAAACGGTAGTTCACACGCGTCTCAACAGCATACAAACCGACACGGCCGATTGTATGAACTTGAAACAGAATTTCACATTTCGTGGATCATGGTGGAATAGAGAATTTCGTGAATATTATAATTTATCATCGGTGTCACACACTTTTGCTTACCGCCGAGAAGCTCTCTAAGCTCAGTATGTAGACGTTGTACGCGTTAATTGTAATCGTACGCATACTTTTCAACATAATGTACAACATCATCTTTTGCTTCCATACGGATATACTGTACCATTTCGCGCAATACCTAAAAGTTTGACGTATGTATGTATGAGTTCGCTCAAATTTCAATTTTCAATTAAATCGCGTGAGGAAGAAATCACTTTTCTCTTAATAAAAAAATTTTATATACATTAATATGCGTGTGTACACGATATATTATACGCACATATATTTATATGCGATATATTGACACTCACATCTTCATGGACAGCTCTGTGCTCGTGTCAATTAATTGCTGACCCATGTAGCTGCACATAAACATGTAAATTAATTGTCCAGAGACGTAAGCTGCGGATCTAAATGGCCGGTCCGACATTTCGGACGGAGAGAATTTAATTATCTAAACAATATATAGTGGCTATGCTAATTACCGTTTAATTTTCATCGTGGCTTAATCTCAATTTATTATTAATTTCGCTCGACAGTAATACATCAATTAATTCAGATATTCGATATATAGGACACTCACTTGTACCATTGTGGTGCCTATCAAAACCATTAAAGCTATAAATTCAAGGAAGAGGTTCAAGCCGTAACACGATTGAATAACGTCCACAAACCTTAGATTGCAAAAAAATGTTTGGGCATTAATAATACGTCTGATCGCGATAAGAAGGTTTGGTGTCATATATTTACTCGGCGTAGAACGTACCTGGAAGAAACGATTCGTCATTCTATGTAGCCCCGAGAATGTATATAAGATACATGCATGCTGCATTCATTGTATATACAGGGTAAATCGGAAAGTTGCTGAAACTAAATATGTAATTATTATCTCGTAATGAGTGAGCAGAATGAAATAAATTCAATATACTTCTCTGCGGAAGAAATCAGTTACCTGGCTTTAACATATAAGAATTGGGTAATAACAAGTTAAAATGTTAAAAGTTTATTTTTAACTTTTTAACTATTTACTATCCAACTCTGAGTAAGGTAGAGTTGGATAGTAATTAACTAGTTAAAAGTTTATATTTAACTTTTAGTTTTTTAACTATAAGTTATTATCCCTGAGTATATGTATGTTAAAGTCAATATTCTGTAGAAAGAAATTGCCCAAGCGGAACAAAAAGTCATGGCATCAAAATGATGTCAAATGGCCAAAAGCGTATATTAAAAGTTACTTATTAAAAGTTACTTTTCGATCAGTCATTTTGACATTATCTTGATCTGTTGTTCTGCTTGGGTGCGTATACTTGTACGTTGCCCTGTACGTACGTGAATCGGCAAGCATGTAAATGCCACATTGTCAAATGATTACTAACTGTAAAACGTTGCGGTGATCCTCGACAAAGAGAGCAACGCTTTCGTAATCTCTTCTATGGATGAATCGACTCTTAAGCAACTGTTCGTTGTCACTGAATAACCGTTCCGCACGGTGTCTGTGTAAATGCGCGCGAAGCAAGACAATATATTGAGGATTTAGTGCAAGAATGTGGGCGAAATTCATATTTTATATGATCCATTTTTAACACAGCGATGAAACTCAAAATGTGCATTATTGTCACACGTTTTTCGCGACGTTAACTAGTTTCCTCATTTCCTCATGCTATCTTTAGATATTTAATGAATGGAAAAATAATCACACAACAGATTCTCATTTAAAAAGCTAGAGTCCGAAGCTAAGTAACGTAAATTATCATAAATTATATAGTTCTTAAATATATATTATATTATATGTATAATATTATATACATATAATTAAGATATCGTCATTCATATATTAAATGTTTAGTAAGAAATGCATAAAATTCACGGTATAAGACGCTAAAATATATATGTAGAAGCAGTACCCCAGTATGGTAAACATTCCACTGGCATGCTGCATGTAAACGACGAATATGGTGCCGTTAGCGAGGATCACTCCCAATCCGTACAAGAGACCAAAATACATAAAAAATCGGATAAAGTAAAAATATTTGTCGTCGTCGAGAAATAATTCAACATGGAATGGATGCTCGCGCGAACGTGACTCGTTTAGCGGTAGAAATACATCGAGAACTTGGGGGATGAATGTGCTAAACATGTACACAGTTATGCCTACGAACATGTAAACTGGAAGACGTAAAATTAATTAAAATTAATTAAATTATGTGCCCCTCTATACGTCGTATAAAAAGTCAACGGTCATCTCCCGACACGAACGATTCGTGCACGATGAAAGAGAATTTTCCAATAAAATATCGAATTTATAATCAAATATTAAATACTTAATAAACATAATTCCTTATAACGATAAATGTAAAATGCAAACGTTAGCGGTTTGCAATAACGAAACCGAGATTTCACTTACGCAAAAACAATTTCGTCGTTACTTTTGCGCCAGTGGCGTTCTCCTGCATAATTTCAATCTCATTCTGAGATCTCGCGCATTCCCAGTCGATTTTAATTTGATCGAATAAATCCCTCAGCTGCAAATTAAATGCTCATTCTATTCGTGAATTGTAGCACACAATTATAATTTTTTTTTTCAATATTATGTATTGTATTTTGACCAAGCACAGAAATTACTATCTACAATTTCTTACTTTGTCGTTGATTAATACACGATTCAGGAATTGTATTATCGCACCAACATTAGGAATGATAATAGGTAGACAATCAAGTATAAAATCTGTCGTTAATTCTGTCATGCAGATCTTAATTACCTAGAAAGACATCTTTCATTTGAAATTATCTTTTGTCTCATAAAGTCATTACAGAAAGATTTATTACTGATTTATTGATCTGAATGAATCATTACGAAATAAATAAATCATTTAGATTTAAATTTCATTTAAAGATTTTCGTAATATTCGAAACATTTTTACATCTCTCACAATCAGTGCTATCTCAAAAGACATAGAAATTATATAATACATAATAAATATCTACTATACGAAAAATAATTAGAAACAGAAATAAAATTGAGAACGTTTAGCAAGATTTACCAGAATACCTGAATCACTACAGTATAAATCATAAACGAAAATATGAATATTCGCTTAATCCAAGCGGTCGCCGTTCGATTGTGGTAAGGCCATAGTCCGTATATGGACAACACCAGACGATTCACTCTATATTGCTGATCCACAGAGAACTCCATCTATTTCGGTGACTCGACGACGACTGAGAAAATATTCGAGATACAAGAAACGCGAAAAGAAAACACGCTATAATAGTTCCCCCCGCTATTATCTCGCGCGAGAAAATTCTGCCGCTTCCCTCAGCGAGGGAAGAAAAGTGTCGCAAATTGCCCTTTTACGCCAGCCGTATATATTCGCACTTTTCGTACGCAATTATATTAAGTTGCGAATCGATCCGCCTCTTCAAGCATTATACCCCTATGAGAAAAGGCGCAGACGAGCACAAAAAATTGATGAAGTGCGATTCTCTTCTTTCTCCGAAAATGACGAGAATGTTTATAACAAATTTTCGAGTAATTTCCCGCAATTTTCTAGACGCTTTTTTTCACCCGAAATTTCTTTTTCTCTTTCATTTCTCGAGCGACATTACGAAGGTACAAGTGCAAATAATTTCTTATAGAAGGTAATATGTGTATAAGTCGCGATGTATAGACAACGGTTAGTCGTATTATTTGAAAAAAAAAAAATGCAAGCGAATATCTGAAAGTATTTGATGTAAACTTCAATTGTTTTATTATAGTAATTCTTGAATAGTTTTTTATAAAAAAATTCATGATATCCATCGATTATTTAAAAATATGCGAAGCTTTAATAATAGCGGTAAAAAATATGCGCGAAAGTGGGATATCGCCGACGAACAGGATAAACATGTATATCAGCGAAGAGGTATATATAAATTGTGTCTTTATTAGTCAACTCAACTCGTTCGTCGTGTAAAGCTGATAAACGGCCTTGCTGACGGCAGGCCCGAGCCGTCGTTTCTTGTCGCCGACCTGAATGCTCGCCAATAATTGCTCGCCATTCTCCCGAGAATTTTCCAAAGCTGTGATCAAAATTTGCGGCGAGGCGTAACGCTCTACAATCGCCGTGGCTTTGTCGACGGACATGCCTTTCAATTGTAACAACTGGCGGATAAACATCTCGCTCACTTTAAACGTCTGCAAGGAAATGTATCGATAAATCGAAGCATTTTTTTTTCTACGCGTTATACAGAAAATTCCCGATACGTACCCTCTGTTTGGAGGATGCTTTATTGAACTCTTTGAACTCCATGAGGCGCACCGCGCTATCCACATTATCTGCCTGGGTAAGATGGTCTTTCTTGCAGCCAACAAGTTTCTTATCCTGAAGTTAAGCTCATTTAATTACGAGATCTATTGATAAACACTCATGCGCGCAATTATACAGCGTTTCTTACACACCTTGTAAATTTTTATCAAAATCTTTGTTACACATGACAAGTACGACATGGAATCCTTGTGACTCCTTGTGTATTTTACAGTGAAACCGTCTTGTACCAGACAATTCACGGAGGCTTGTAACAATGATGGGAGCGGTATGGAAAATCGGGAATTCTTATCGATATTCTCTACTATGTACATCAAATTCTCAATACCGGACTGCTTCAATCGGAACTGAAATTATTGGAAGCAAAGAACATACGGATAAATCAAATATGCAGAACCAAGGATGTACCGAAAGGTAAATTGCATTACTTCCTTTTTCCCACATTACCTTTTGCTCGTGAAACCTTCCGTCCACGATGCTCGCGCTCAAATCATCCAATCGCTTCCGCTCTATTATGTAAGGCACAACCAGTTCGTCATTAGTTTTTCGACACCTGGCTATCCACGCGAAATCACCGACCTTCAAACGGCGTACCTCGAACAGTACGCCAAGCTGTGTCAGTTCCGCAAGCGTAGCGTCGTGCTGAGGCTTTGTCCTTCCACTGAAATACATCCCACATAGCTAAAAAGCTTTTTACAGTTGACAGTACAAGTCGCGGCCGTACCGTAAAATACTCACCCACAAGTCTCTTGGGTATCCACCAGCAGTACAATATCAAAAGTACCAGGTTCCAAGGAAATTTGCCTGTCGGCTTGCCCAAATGCAACATCATTTGCGTTCGCTAATCTTTTCGGCGCGCTCTTTTTAGCATTTCTAGCTTGTTTAGCTACCGCTGTTTTCTCCTGCGCCACTTCAGCTATTATGGATTCTTCTACAGGTTTCTTCCTCGACGTGACCGTACGGTCTTCGTTACCGCCAGCCCCGGAGACGCAAGCGTCGACCGCTTTGGTGGGTTCCTGTCTCCTATGCTCCTCCAGCCTTCTGTCCAACATCGAGCACAGCTTCGTGCCGAAATGCTGCAGGATTATGCATTCCTTCCCGGATTCCAACGGCAACGGGTATCGTTTCAACGAGTCCAAAGCCTTCGTGAAGTGATTCTGCAGCTCTGATTTTCGTACCACCGCCTCGTTCCTCCATTCCTCCAACCAGCTCTCGAACAGGTGATTCGGCCTGTCCGGCACAATTTTGACTCTCTTCATTCTCCGGCACGTAAATCAAACGCTTCGTACGAATCCACTTGTTTACAAACAACGCGACTCCTTCGCAAACATCCCAAATTTCAAAGGAGCGCGGCAAATTTTCGATTTTAAATATCGATCATTTCTACAAATCATTTTTTAAAACATAGAATATATTAATATTTAAGCAATTTGTCGATTCATACAAATTAATTCCATTAGTCCCCATTATTTACGTGGATTTGAATTAAACGAGGTTAGGTTTTATTTCGCAACTGCACATGCGAACTCAACATATCTGTCTAGTTAATTCAGAAAAATCCCTATAGATGGCGCTACCGTGCTCTGCCCCACGTGTGTGCGTATGTAAACAAGGTTGCATGAGGTTACGTACGACTTGTTTTAAGTTTTAAACAGTTTAAACAATCGGTAAGATACAATGGAGAATCAGGAGGATGATCAAGGCGGACTGCGTGTCGACGGCCGACGAGCGTTGGAATTGAGGCAAATCCGTATGCGGATGGGAGTGTTCGGGCAGGCTGACGGTAGCGCGTATATAGAGCACGGCAACACGAAGGTTTTGGCCACGGTGTACGGCCCTCGACAGGTACGGATTGGCTTTAAAACATTTACCGCAGTATTAAAAAACGGATTATTGATTACACATACATGTCATCTTGGTCGAGAGAAGTTATGAATGATATTGCTATTTAATAAGTCATGATGATTTCTGCTATTTTTTTTTTTTTACATATAATCACCTTAAATTATTTTTCCGTTTCATAATGCAAATATATGCCTTCATGCTAATATTTGTCTTTAAGTATACCTTATAATATCTGTATATGTACGTCACCTTGGTCGAGAGAAGTTATGAATGATTTTCTGCTATATTTTTTTACATATAATCATCTTAAATTATTTTCCCGTTTCATAACGCAAATATATGCCTTCAGACTGAATGCCTTCATCTTAATATTTGTCTTTAAGTATACCATATAATATCTGTATATGTATGTCATTTTGGTCGAGAGAAGTTATGAATGATTTTCTGCTATTTTTTTTTACATATAATCACCTTAAATTATTTTTCCGTTTCATAATGCAAATATATGCCTTCATGCTAATATTTGTCTTTAAGTATATACTGTATAATATCTGTATATATACTTTTGTTACAGCCAAGAAGCAGTGCGTCGAAGAACAGTACAAAAGCCATCATAAATTGTCAGTACAGCATGGCCGTGTTTAGCTTTACCTCCGGCGAGCGGAAGCGCAGACCCAGGGGAGACTGGAAGTCGCAGGAGAGATCGGCGCAATTGCGCCACGCGATGGAGGCCATAATACACTTGGAACTGTATCCGCGCTCTCAGATCGATGTCTTCGTGGAAATTCTGCAGGTCGACGGCAGCGATTATTGCGCGTCCGTGAACGCTGCGACGCTTGCGTTGATTGACGCTGGAATTCCAATCAAGGTTGATATCCAAGGATAGTTTTCTTTTCAAGACAGAAATTCAAAGGTCATATTATTATACACAGAATAAATTTCTGATTATAGAATTATGCCATCGGCTGCAGCATAACTCTTGTCAACAAGCCGTCGATAGAGGATGAAGATAAAACGTTGGCGACAGGAGTGTTAGACGCGAACTACGTGGAGGAGTGCTCGCCGGGAGTTACCTTGTCCGTTGTCGCGTTACCGGGAACGAATAATGAGGTCGAAGTGGATGGGAACGGTTTGATAGTGGTAGCACACGGGGCGGGGCAGAGATTACATCTGTCACGTTTGGAAGCGCTCAAGCAACGCTCGTTGCAAGGTTGTCAGGATATAAAAAATATATTGGACCGTGGCGTGAGGCATCATCTAACTGCGAATCTGCTGCCTTCTTTTATGCACAATTCACTTGAGTAGGAGGAATAATTATATTTCACTAGCACTCTGTAAGAGATTTTATATAATTTAATTATCACTGTACATAAACGATCTACTAAAAAATTGTTTTCTTAGAAAATTTCACAGTTTCGAATGTTTCTCTTGAGTAGAAAAATACTTCGCTATTTCTCTGTTAATAAACAGTCCATTTTTTTCGGAGTTATCAAAAGTATCCTCAAAAAGCGGGGGATTAGAGTGCAGCACCAGGATATCTTTCCATGATCATACCAACTCCCTGTAAAAGAAAACATATAAAAATTAAAATCCAAGAGAAAAATAAAAAATTCATGTGTCGTATTAAAATAATTAGATACATAAAAACTATTTGCATTATATGTAATAATGTATTTTACCTGTCCGCCAGCAGCACAGGCCGCGATAAGTCCAAATTGTTGATCTTCTTTAATAAGTCGATTAGCGGTGTGCGTCGCCAATCGTACTCCAGTGGCGGCGAACGGATGACCGATCGACAGGGATCCACCCCAACTGTTCCACTTGTTCATATCCGGTGTCCCGACTTTCGAACTCCTCTTCAAATACTTCTGCGCGAACAAATCGGAGTCCATCGCTCTCAGATTAGCGCAGATCTGTCCGGCAAACGCCTCGTGTATCTCCCACACTCCTATATCTTTCAAGGTTAATTTTGCTTTGTCCAGAACCTGCAAGCGATTATTTATGTAGGTATCTTAGCTTATTGCATTTCAGTTTCATGAATAACGTGTAACGATAACGCCAGGAATCACGTACCTTCGGTATTGCGTACGTTGGTCCCAGAAGCAGTTGATCAACTGGATCTTGGGACACGTAAAGGAAGTTACGCAGGTATGCCTTGGGTTTCAAGCCAAGCTGGAGGGCCTTCTCCTCGCTCATTATTAACGCCGCCGATGCACCGTCGGTCAAGAACGAGGCGTTGGCCGCGGTGACCGTTCCGTAAGGCTTAACAAACGCAGGTTTCAACTTTGCTAATTGTTCCTCCGTAGACACGCGGATACCGTTATCCTTATCGACAACTTTATCAACGTTTGGAACTGCAATTTAGAAAAAAAAAAAACAAGATGACATTTAAATGCGCAACTTAAATTGACTATGATGAATATAAATATAAAAATACAAGTTAAACACTAGAAACGTTGATCTACCTTTGTAAGGTACTACATCCGATAGCAGTCCCTGTTGCTGTGCTCGCGCGGCTAAAGTATGAGAGCGCAAGGCGTAGTCATCTTGTTCCTTGCGCGTCACGCCAAACGCCGCCGCTAAACGATCCCCGCTGTGACCCATAGTTTCGCCACTTGAAAACTCTGCCACAGCTGGTAGCTACGTAAACGTAAATTCTTGTAAGATATTTACAAAATCGAGAAAGGAGTTCCATTATTTTTATGTATACTGTATATAATATTCTTATAAGACAATTTTAAACATTAAAAAAAAAGACGATATAAAGAAAGATCATATCACTTACATCTGGTATGAAATGACCTGGTCTGATACTAGCCAAGAGAGTTAATTTGTTTTGCAAGGTTTTCGCCTTGTTGGCTTGCAACATCAGCGATCTCATGGATCGACTGTGTCGAATTGGAATATCTGACATGAATTCTACTCCTCCTGCCACAATGGCGTCGTAAACACCGCACGCGATTAAACCCATGCCAGTGGTGATTGCCTGATTACTGCTAATACACGCCATCGTTACTGTGTGCGCAGGAGTGTGTTCGGCATATCCCGCGGCCAGAGCGGCTTCTCTTCCGACATTGGATGTTCGCACCTCTTGCATCACTGTGCCATAGACAATATAATCGACTATCTCCTTGGGGAACCCAACTTTCTTTTGCAAGCCCCTGTAAGGTAATAAAAAATAATTTACCTCTACAATTAATATTTGCAATTAAAAATAGGATATAAAATGACTTTCTAACAGTTATCTTGATAGATAATATTTAGAGTTATATTTGCGATTATTCACATTGACATATCACGAAGTGATGTAAACTTACACCAATGAATGCCTTGCAAGGTCGTAAGCCAAGAGATTTTTGTAGTAGGTTCCAGACTGTAAGAATGGAGTCCGTACTCCATCGACGAACACAATATTTTTTGAGGGATTGTCACTTTTCGTAGAATATGCCTTGTTTATAGAAATTCCAGAGTAACGGGTGAGAGCTTCTGTTGAAATAGCAATAAAAAATATATATTTATTTATATAGATAATAAATTTGCTCATTAAATTAAAATTTAATGAGCAAATGCCAAAAAGTGCAAGTATATATATTGTTTACAATTTGTCAGATCTAATGTTATAAATACATACTGTATTGCTATAGAAGTATTGTATATATAAACGTGCACATAATTATACATAACTACGCACGCAAACAGAAAATTAAGCTGAATATAAATATATTCCTAGTATATTTCCACTCTTATGGACTTTGTACCAGGATATCTATACTTTATTTACATGTAATATTTAATTGACTGTAAAATTACTCTCCTTACCATAATTGACAATTCCCTGTCTCGCGACGAGACAATTTTTCAGAAGAGGGAACATGTTGTATGATATTGACACTTCCTCTTTTTCCAATTACGTTCAATGTGTCACTGAGAGTCTCTCGGGGAAACAGCAATCACGAAGCGTTGGCACAGTGCTCCAGACAGGTTGGACTGGGGTGGACTTTGACCTGTAACATATGTTATAACAAGACGTCTGTCTCGTAATTAAATCCGCAATTATTCGTAAGTGCCAGAAAATGAAGGAACTGAAAGTTACTAGATTTCTCTAAACGCACGTAATTATTTGTTAAGAAATTATAAACTGAGACAATTATTTTTAAACAATTTTTTTATAAAAACTTTTAAAATACATTTAAAAAGGTTAGACAGTCATATAGATAATTTTAATTAATAGTGCAATTAATTTTACACAAAAATCATTTTTTACACTGCGTGCTTACCCGACATAAATAAATCAAAATTTTTGTATGAAGATTGTATTTTATATAAAAAGCTTTGAAGCATATAATTAAAGCATTTTTTTTCTGAAGGAAAAAAAATTGGACATTCAAAATAGCGTTCGTATACGGTCAAGGGCTTCATTGGCTGTTGACTAGAAAATTTTAGGGACATCTTGTATTTTTTTGTCCAACGATATCCACGAATGGCGAAAAATCTTCTACAATATTCGTAAGTTCTATGGTTACAATCGATTGAATTTCATGTAATGTTTCTCTTCTGCTTCTCGTATTCATAGACATAAATATAAAACAAAAAGAAACGCGACGAAATTGGAATTTAGGAGTTAACGTTAACCTGAAATCAACGTTAAAATCATCAAGATCGCAGCGCACCGGTCAAAAATTGATTAACAACATTAATAACTACGTTGTTTTCTGCGTTATATGTATACATACATATGTACATGTAAGCTTTGCTGGAGCCGTTGGAGATGTCGGCCGTTTCGCGCTTCGTATCAGTTCTCATTAATCACTGACTGGTATGTAGCGTTCGAGAAACATTAAACTATGAAGAGAAAATATTAGTGTTGTCAGTTCTCTGATTCAGTTTTTTGATTGAAAAGGAATGACATGTGATCAAGACGAGAATCGTTTCGACCGTACACAGACTATACAGAATACTGCCAGACAAGAATTTGCTGTGATCGAATTCACATAGGTTACAAGTGGAATATTGATTTCTCTCGCTTATCCTGATTATGTTATTATAGTTCCTTCAGCTTTGACAATAAAAAAAGATGCTGAATCAACAACATCCTTTGCTGAACACCATAGATTCGTACATAGAGCCGCTTTTGAAGCGCGTTTTACAAAGCAAGAGACTGGGTAAGATTTATCATTAATCTTTATTTTATCTGTGTTGAATTCTTTTTGTTTTGCTTTGTTTTGCGTTGCGGATGTATTGCATTTTCTTAAGACGTTTATGATTTGACATTTCTTAAGGTTATGGTCCAATAAAATTGGATTCGGCGTCGTCGAGTTGTGACAAGAACAAGAATGATTGTTTCAAGTTAGCAATTCCCTACGCCGGGGAGAACCTTGTATGGAACGTATTGTTCGATTCGCAATGTCCAGAAATGGGCCCGGACTTCATATTCAACGATCAGAATTTTTTAATGGACCCAGACATCGATATTTTGTCTACTTGGGTACCTAGTCTTGTTAAATGGAATCCTCATGATACCGACGCGTTGCTTAACGTGCTAAACGAATTGTTATTGTATTACAAGGAACACCAGGTAGGCGATAACATTTTGTCGCTCTTGATTGTATAAAATAATACATTCCTTTAATAGATTCGATGTTCAATACACAAAATTTAAATGATTTTTAAAGATTCGCGATGCTTATTTTCTTCACTTTCAGATACAGTTACTTGGAAAACAGGGAGAACGATTGCAAGTAGAATACAGCACACTTATTGGGGAAACCGAAATAAGCAAAGAAGATATAGAAGTGATGATGTTACCACTAGGATTAAAGCCTGTGGAAGCGAGATTTTTAATTCGCATATCTGTGGATTATTCTCGATTACCCCCGCGTACCAATAAGTCGCAGAGTGAGGAAGCAATGCTTCTAGTCACGTTTTACGGTCCCGATTGGAATCGTATTTTGTCGCAACTCTTCTTGTCCAAGACCTTGGAGGAGGCTTTCGGTGGGACCGAATCATTGCACATTCCGCCATTGCCGCCCAACAAATATCTAATGGATTACGTTCCCGAAGTGATAAAATTCATGGAGGAAAAAGTATGTGATATACATGCACACATTTTACAGGGTTGCTACATTTTGCAAAAAAAAAAAAATACTTATACATACTCTCTGTTGCAGATAAACAGTGTAATTCAGTGTTTCGAAAGCAGAAAGGATTTTATCGTGGGTCTATTTCTATTTCAGCGCGGTAGCTTGCTAGAGTACGATGCGACAGAGTTTAATTGGATTTCTATTCTGTTGGAACACCGAGACTTCCATTTTATCGTACATTTTCATCTCCCGTCGTCATTTCCAAAAGAGAAACCGCAAATTACATTGCAATCGGTGTATCACATGACATCACAGGGTACTTTGTACAATGAAGTATTGAATGATGTACCGTACAGTCCTAGATGGCCGATAAGGATAATGGTTGACAAATTGTTAACGTACATAGTAGAAAATGCTGTTCAAAAGTTTCAGGCGAACTCTATCAGAAATAATCGTTTCTAATTTATTCTGAAAAAAAAGTTATATTTTATTACAAAGGATGTATATTTAATAGTTGCAATTGAAATAAAAACTGTTCGGTTCCAATTTACCAATCGATAAACATCGATGTAGTTGTGTATTTTGGTCTTTTTTGTATAGTCTTGTAATCAATTTATATTTTTCAATCTAAACTTTTCTTTACAGGATGAATAATAGAATCAACGAAAACAAATTTGTACAAATTTTACCAGTGTTTTTGGAAATAATTATACGAATTATTACATTCCGGAAATAGATAAAAAAGTATCAAACGCGAGTGTTATTAACATTATTTGATAAAGTAAAATTTTAATAAACAATCTTATAAGTATTTCATTGTTCGAGTGAAGTTAAAAGTTACAATAGGTATCATCTTCCGACGTGTCGTATCGAATTATGATGATTCACCGACGATTAAAATGTAAAAGCTTTATTTCTCATTAATTTATAGCACAACATCTGAACTACATTATTCGAAAACTGCATCATTCGTCGTCGCAAGGAAATTGGCAGGCATTGTTACTACACCGAATAAATCGTAACCAATCATCTTCCGCTGAGCATACTTCCGGAGAGAAGAAAACGTCGATTGGTCGACGCGCGCAAGATGTGTTGTTCCCTAGCGTTAAATTCCGCGCGCGTCGCGTGCGGGGTAGAAACCATTAGTTCTCTCCCCAAGCCGTTGGCAGCGCTACGTACGTGTGCGCAGCGCGATGAGCGTGCGCAGAGTGAAACTGTCTCAAAAGTGTCCGGCCGCCGTCACCTGTCTCACGGTTTGAGGTAAGTGCTCTCACGCCGTCTTGCCGTTTTATTAAGGGAAATTTTGCGGAATCGCGACATGTACGCGGCCGCGGTGACGCGTCGCGTGAAATTGTCGCCGAGTGCGGGAGTGTCACGTGTCAATACGCACCGCGCGACTGGCAAATATGTTCGCGGTGGCGGCGGCGGCGGTCGGTCGGTCGGTCGGTCGGTCGGCCGACCGACCGTCGCCGCCGCCGCCGCCGCCTTCGCGTCTTGCTCGTCTCGCCGCGGCAACTTTACGCGGCACGCCGCGACTCCGCGACGGCCGTCGTACGCCGCCTCCCTCCTGTCACGCGAAATTCGCTGCGGACGAACTGTCGGCGGCCCGTGTTTTATACTCTCGTGGGTCGCGCGCTCTGCGACGCAGCTTTCCCGTCCGCGCCGACTGTCGCGTCGATTTTCTCGCGGTATCTCGCTCTCCACCGTCGCGCTCGTCGCGCGGTGCGGCATTCGACGCGCTCGCCGCGCGCGGACGCCCGATTTCACGATTGTTTGTAACGTAATCGCACGTCGTGTTGTATCTCTCGTGCCGCGCGTAAAGCGTCGCAGGTATCACCTGTCATGGCGCGTGCCGCTGTCGCGCTGCCGCCGCCGCCGCCGTTATCGCACGGCTGATTCCAGTCACGGCATTCTCACGGCTGTTCGCGATTCGACCGCTCCTACAGACGGTGTGGACCCATCGTGAATCTGCTTTCCCTGCTTCGAGAGAAAAATGACGTTCGTTGGCTTTGCGCAGATTTATTTCATCGTGCGAAATAAAAAAGGTGATTTCCAGTACGTTCGGCTAAAAAGAACAGACCTTGTCGCGTCTCGTCTGGATGTCAACCTTAACGTAACCTAGCCCAACTTGACCCTAACCTGGGCAAACTACCTATCTATTTTCCTTTACGCGCGCAACACGCTCGACAGCTGCTGAAAAATGGACCGTTCGTCCCCCTCGTTCCTTAGGATCTCTTTCTCATTTCGCGTACACGAACGAGCCGCGACACTCACGACTGTCAATGCTTGCTCCTCGATATTCTTGCCGGACGGCTTAATTTCATTTGTATATACGTTATCTTGATTTTTTTTTCCTATCGATATGTTAAGAGACTAGCATAATTATTCTGTCATTTCTCAAATTTCGATTTTTAAATGCGAGACGAATCGAGATTATCAGTATTTATAAGATAAGCGCGACATCGACGTGAAGCTCGGTCAATTGGACGGACGCGTTGACGATCATGTGGCTGGGAGGGAGAGGGGGTGGCCACGATGGCGGCCGCCACGCGCCATGTCGCAGCCGCGCTCTTGCACGTCATCCTGTGCGTTCCCTTCGCCCCCTTTCGGCGTCCTGTTGCGCGTCGTCCACCGTGCGCAATGAAGGGAAAGCGCATTAGCATTTTTTTTTCTCTCACGCGTATGTGCGATTGTTACGCCGACGGCCCTTTTCGCGACAGACTTCAATTCAATAATTCGCGAGATGTTATAGAAAGATTACAAAACATAATGACATTTCGGTGTTTTTTTCTTTTTTTTTAAATAGAAAACTCCAAATGAATGACATCGTTGATTTTACTTAAAAACATCGACGCTCTCAGATTTAATCTTAGCTTAATCAGAATGAAAGAAAAGAACTGCTAACTACGTAGACTTTTGTATCAATTCATAATTTAAAAGTGAAATAAACACTTGAATACGTCAGATTCAAAGAACATTGAACTCAATTAGAATTTATAATTTTCGTCGATTGAGTTAAGTGATAAAACTAATTTTTTTTTCTTTCCTGGATGTTTGCCTCTTTCGGGACAGTATAACCATTCTTTTCTAATTTTTAGTTCATTTTTTTAATTTTTTAAATTTCAATATTTCCCAGAGAGAGATGAAAAAAAGTCGTGGACATTTTATATCATTTTGTGACAAGTATCGCAATTCCCCCAATGTTGTTGTTAATGATCGATACGCACGTGCTTCGAATTTAATTCTTTGTAAACATCCCAAGCCGAAGCTTGTCGGAAGAATCGATTTGTGAACCGGGAGCCGGAACTTCAAGGTTAATGCGATACACAGGGATTTGTAGCAAATCAACAAAGACGAATCGGCAAAAGTAAAAGGATGAGCGAGAGAAAGAGGAGATGAAGAAGCGCAATGTAGAAAAGAGCGGTGGCGTGTCGACAAAACACACGGGTGGGCTAAAAATAGCACAAAGCACAAAACAGAGTGCAACGTGCGGATTATTATGCGAGGCGCGGCTCGTTCTCGAAATAACGCCACTTTATTTTTTATATATTTTTTTTTATATAGATATATATTTACACGATCTCGATATCTCTTCCCGATAAAAACTTGTCGTTTAACGAAAGCTCGGAAATTCGCGCAACACGGGATTCTCTCAACGTGGAATTGTCTGCACACAATTAATCTGCGACATTTGACGTATCGTATAAATGAATATCGTGTAACGAATTAGTAAACCGGACCGTGATTGAAGAATCAAAAATACGAATGCGACATTAAATAAAATGTAATGTAGTCAAACATCTGGAGAAACATGGTCACGAATTTGAGATTGGAGTAAACAACCGCTGGAGTGCAGCTATCAATTAGTAACACCCGATTGTCTTATCTCGCAATGAGATACGCCGCAATCGTATTAATTGCATCGGTACTTGGCCTTCGAGAAATCGGCGCTAACCTTCCTTAACGAAAACACACATATGTATACCACTTGTAAACAAGCTCTCTGAAAAAGGCGTATCGTTTTCTTTTTCCAAGGCGAAATCCAAAGCAATTTGTACTAAATTCATTAAAAAAATGATGCTGTTTGCTCGGACAGTTGTCGAATCTTCTCGATTTTTTCTTCTTCAGTGATGAATCAGCATTTTCGCGGACTTGAAGCTTGCCAAAATTTTTCAAGAACTTTGAATAATAACGAGTAGGAGTGTTATTTATTTATACTTGTACAAATTGGCGTCAATTAAACTGCGTTTCGAGAGGAATTCGATTATGGAAACGAATTGTTCCATTATTATACATTCGCGGGTATCTCCCTCGATGCTCTAACCTTGTCATTCGAAAGTGTTTCGTTTAGCTGAGGGATACATATGCGAACGCGAAATGCACGTGCACATAGTTGTGAGCGATTTCCGAAGGAGAACGAGTTTTCTGCGAGTGCATAACATCGTCTCTCTCTCGCTCTCTCGCCGTCGACGGCCAATCCGAGATCGCGGATTCGGCCGCAACCTCCGCTCGGCCCGTCGTTGTCCATTGGCCGGTCGCTCGGTGACGTTGCTGACCCGCTTTTGAAATTCGGTAAACAAGATCTCGCGAGAGCCAGAAAACTGCCTGACGAATAATATCTATATGATACGAAAATGAGAATCACTTCGTGCGGATCGTCGAAAAAATGACTAACAATAAGAAAATGTTTCCGCGCGTCACGCAGTCCGATTATCGAGTGACGATGCTAGAGATGTTGCTAACAATCTATTCGGAAAGCAGAGCAATAGTCGCTGAACTGTCAATATAAGTACAGATTTATTTTTTTTTTTTTAATAAAACGTATAAGTGTCTCATGACTTAGATTTTTTGATTCTAAAAGCGTGATAGATGAAATCGTTAATTAGGACGAAATATGGAGTGGATAAAAAATTCTTTGCAAATTTGCATTCAACTTTGCTCAACAGGAGAATGAAATTTTGGCAGAAAAGTTAATTTCCTTCTGTCAAATCGAGCGCACTTCAGCCGCGTGTCTCGCGCGAAATGAAGTTCGGTCTCGTACGGTACGTGCGCGAGGGGATCCGCCGTGATAAGTGAGACCATTCAGGATGAGGACGAGACACGGGACGGGACGGGAGAGGAAGGGAAGGGAAGAGAGAATTCGGCGCTCGCGCGGAGCGAAGTTGAGCGAAGTTCCACTCGTGCCGCGCGGACGTCAAAGGGGGTTCTTGCGAACGGGGAAGGACGGACGGGAGGATGTTTGACGACGAAACATCACGAGCGTGGCCAGAGGATGAAGGGGGAAGGCGTGCGCATGCGCACGCCACTTGGTGACGCTTCCCGGCGGGCCCCGGCGCGCGCGTAGCGTAGCACAGCCACGCTTCTCGCACGTCGCCGCCGTACGCGCGTTTACGTCTGGTCTAAACGTCGTCACGAACGAGCGTCGCCGCCGTTTACGATTTCCTTTTGAGAACGCGCGCGCCCGCGCGCGCGAAGATCGCTGCGATTGAAAGTCGCGAATTAATCAGGAAAAAAAAAGGGAAACGAACGTGTTCGAGTGTGAAGTTCTGTCGCGAAAGAGAAAAGGGTGGGAAGACCGGATTTTCTCTTCCATTTTGGAGGAACAAGTGGCTCGAACCGTAGCTGTCGGCATCGCATCGCTCCTGACGGAGCACAGTGACAGTCTGACGCGACAGTGGTTTCTCTCCCTCTTTTTTTTCCCCCCGATTTTCGACACCGCGACGTCGTCGGCTCTGGGAAGTCGTCTGGGGAGAGATCAAGAGGATAGAGGAAGGAGCGCCCCGTGTCTCGAAGGGGGCGGAGATTAATTTTTGGGAAGGAGGCAAGCGGCCGAATTGGATACGGCGTCACTTTTGACACATTTCGGCAACACGAGTTGCCTTTCACTCTTTGGACATTTTTGTCGCGGATCAATTCGGAAAAAAAAGGGGAATTAGGAAGGCGAAGAAGTTGAGAGAGGGAAAGACACATCTCCATTTTGTAAAAGAAAAAGTGTCCGGCTCCGCTTTTTCGACACGTTTGGCAACAGTGTGTTTTATTCTTCGAACGTCGCTTCCATTAAATTTTCGGGATCTTCGAATCTCGAGTCTCGTGCGATTCCTCGACGAAACATGAAGCTGGTAGCCGCGAATGTGTTCGATGAAATCAGCGATCATTGTGACACACATTTGATGTTACTTTCGCGACGACCACACTTTTTGGACACTTTATCTACATCTGTGTTACTACGCGAGCTCCAGGCATGTCCAACTTTAAATAATCTTAATTTAGCATGCCGCGTAACCTCATGACGTTCTGACACCGTATAGAATATGTACAAATTCCATTACATTGCTGATTTTATGAGCAATTTTGATTTTTATAAAGATTTTTTATAAAGACATCTTGAAAGATAAGTCTTTTAAATATTTTAAACAGTCTTTCATCTTACCTTCATACGTCTTATAATTTTCTGTATTCAGTCGACTACTAGTCGTTACATACTTTAGACATCTTCATCTTAGTTTTGCATTTATTGCAATTTCATGACGTCCATGTTTATACCGCCTGATATTTCCCCAATGTTATAATATTGTAAATAATATTAAATTGTTTTTATAAAATTAAAATTTTACTTTGTACCTCAATTTTCATAAATTGCAAAAATATATTTCTGCAACAATTTTTGAATTTATTTTTATTTTTTTAATTTTTATGTACTTTTTATAGATTATAAAATTCATACAATATATATATCTCTGAAAATTATTTTACATTTTGCGTGTATGTTTTAATTTTCATCAGATTTATGTATCTTAAAATTTTTAATACATATTAAAATGTATAAATATTTCGAATTAAAAATAAAATTTTCAAAAAATGTTGCAAATAATGTATACATACTATTGTATTTATAAAATTATGAGTTTTTACTAATATATGAAATCATATTATAACATATACATATGTATTAAATTACAGAAACGATAGTGACATACATTGTGAGCAGGATGTTCAGTTTTCACAAACCAAAGGTGTATCGATCTAGTACAGGCTGCTGCATTTGCAAAGCAAAATCTAGCAGGTAATAATATATTTACTTATGTACATATAGATGCCATACAATAAAGATAAAAAATGTATAATTATCTACTATATAATTTTCAATTCTCATTTTAAATTATTACAATTATTATTATTACAATTTATGCTGATATTAAAGTTTTATACAAAAATGTTATTTAGTAGGAGTTAATATCGTGACATATTAATGACATTATAACATTGAACATGTATTTTATTTTACATGTATAGATATATACTTAAAAGTCTATAATTTTTATATTACATTAATATAATAAATCCTAATCAAATCTTTTACAGCTCGAGATTCACAGATAGTAAAAAGTATGAGGATGACTTTATGCTATGTTTTCAACTCGACGAGAGGCGTAGCGGAGAGATATGTAATGCATGTGTGCTTCTAGTAAAGAGATTTAAGAAGCTGCCTCCAGGAAACGATCGTAATTGGAGACATGTTAGTATTTGTTGATTGATAATCTTATTTTCATTATTTGAATTTTAATCTTGTAAATATATTATAAATATCACAATTTATTTATCCAATTACTTTTAGACTAATTTTTAATTAAATTATTCTTGTTCTTATCACATAAATAAATATTTTTTTATATCTCTATATTGAATATTTTTTGAATTTTTTATATGTAAAGTTACAAGTAAATTTTTTGCTTGACAATTGATTGCTGATTATTAAGACATCCAACATTTGATATTTTGAATTATTATATCAATATAAGTTTAAATTGCAAATTTAAAAAAATAATTACTTTTGCAGGTTGTGGATGCACGTGCTGGTCCAGGTATTAAGTCTTTGACAAAATTTAAAGCAAAAAATAAAAGGAAACTTAAAGATAAACCTGACAAATTTGCTAAGAAGAAACATGTCTATGTAAAAACAGAAGCAGATCGAGAACAAAGTCCACCGATGAGCGATGATATGAACGGTTAGTTAAATTAAAATACAAAATATAAAATTTTGTTTATTAATCTAATGTTCATGATTTATTTAGCATTTAGAAAAATATAATAACTTAAAAGATAAAAATAGAAATTTGTGTTTTAGTATATTATATATAAATAATATTTAATAATTGTGTATTAACATATTTTATTTTTTTTTATATTGTAGAAGATGACAGATTGGCAGACAGTAAAGCCTCGAGCAGATCCGAAAGCATTTCAGACGACGATGATGACATTGGCTCTAATGACAAACAATTAGATCTTGTTCAAGATCAAGATATAAATGATGATGATTGCAATTTCTTAGATTTATCTTATTATAAAAGGTAATATTATGAGAAAAATTTTCTAAGAAGTTTTTTGTTTTAAAATTTTGAAAAAAACTTTTAGAACTTTTAAAAAAAAAATTAAATATTTAATATACATTTGTTTCTCAAATTTAAACATGTTTATTATATATTCTTTTATTGGAGATATATTTTATTGGAGTATCTCAAATATTTTTCATTTATACTTTTCTGTATATTTGTATTATATATGTATATTTTTTTGTTTTACACAGAGAAATTATTTGCTGTGGCAGCATTTTCAGAGGCGCCAATGGTGAGATCATAATGTATCCGTCTAGCCTGAAACCTTGCGAAAACCTTACCAGGCGGCAGCTTACTTCTTCTTTAACAGTCACCAGTCCCATTCACAGTTCTGCATCCACCAGCCCTGTTCATAGCGTTGAATCGCCGTCATCAGGTCCTGAAACAAGTTCAAAACAAACGAAGACCGACAGCGACTCTTCGTCCGATTCCGGTTACGACGATTCCTCCAATCAGGGTGAGAGCAAACTAGCGAAGAATGTTCAAGTTCAGGCAGATGTGAAAATGATAGAGGAAGCTGTAAGACCCATAGAGCTCGATCAGTTATCAAGTTGCAAAACCTTACAATCTGTCAACGTTACTAATCAATCACTTCAGTCGGTCTCCAATTAATGTCGGCCCTTTATAGAGGGTTAATTTATTCCTTTACTTACGAACACACACGCATAAATATGTACATACGTATACAGGGTGTCTAGTAGATAATTTTATAATCGCAGTTTTTCAATAGAAATTTCAATCTAGAGAATCTTCCCTCTCGGCGAGAACTTCAAATTTTTACGATACCTAAAGTAAATATTTCTGACATCCGATTCTTGCAGTATTTCCCTCGATTCTTTTAAATCTTAAAACATCTTTTGAATTTCAATTTAGAGACGATTTTTCCTCATGGAGAATATTCGAATTTTAATCTTTCAATAGGTTTTTAAAATCCTGCTTTACTTATTGTTTAAATTTTTCATTATATTACTACACATTGTTAATACATGAGGATAATTAAATAATAACGTAAAAAAAAGTTACTGCTTTAGAAAAGAACTTTTATTAGGATTTTATGGGAGATGTTTTATATAGTCAATTTCAAAATATAAAAGGAATATTTAATGATGATGAAAAATCTATCTCTCAAATGTGAGGCCGAAAGTGAGTTATGAGCAAAACATGTCCCTAGAAATCTGTACAATTTCTTTTTATTGAAAACTTTTTCTGGAATCAGTATAAATGTGTTGCAGTATAAATACCGTCACCCTGTATATACGAATAGATATAAGCTGAAGTTAATTAAGTGCACTATTCCCGGGCAGCAAAGTGGCTCTGAAAGGTTTCGAACCTTCGTCTCGGAGGTTTAAATGCCATTTGGATGCAATTTATTGTGCTAAGGATAATTAGAATTAATCGTAGCGATCGACTGACGTAAACCGCCAATTCTCGAGCCGATAATTTTTAAGTCTTATATTAAGCAATATAAACACACATCAAAGTTCTGTGATGATATCGTAAAGTAAGATACGCTCAGATTTCTTATGCCGAAGCGGTTCGAGCTGGCGGTTTACGTACTCGCTTTTCTAACACGTCAAGTGCCACCGCTTAAGGGGGAGAAACGTACGTAGGATGTGCTGAGACAACCGAAGATGATATCAAAAAAATCACGATAAATTAATGAAACATTGATATTTGTTTCTAAAAAATTTTCGGATTAAAACCAACTGTGTATTAAGTAGTTACGTGTCGTCGAAATATGTCGAAATTTGAAAATCTCGTCTTTTTACGGAACATTTTTCTACTATAAATTTTAAAAATTTTTAATGTCTTAGATTTCAAGATTTTTGAATTTCTCATGTTTAATAAAAATCACGAAAATCTTATTCTAGAAATTGCCAAAACGTTACTGAATTTTCTTTTTTTTTTAATTTTTATTTCCTTAAATTATCTAAGATTCAATACACGAAAATGAAATTTTATGTATATTTAGTATGAGTTGATTTAATTACGAAAATATATTTGAGGAAAGAAATATGTATGAAATCAAATTTTTATTAAAAAAGAGGTCTAATGAGCCAAGTTGGATCACAAGAGCCTCACATTATTTCTTTATTAAAATATGTAAAATATATATGAGTTAAGAATTGCAATTTGAATGTCTTTTGCTGAAAGAAAACTGAATTGACAAAAAAGAAATAGATTTTTTTGAACGGATATCTGATGGTTGTTGCGGGACATCTCGTGTAAGTTCCAAGCTGCCAATCGATGATTCTCGTCTGGGTCCAAAAAAAAAAGCGAAGGCAAGGAAGAAAAAAGCGGAAATTTCTTGCATTTCCTTCCAAATCATGATGCTCCATGACGTAAATTAATTAATTAATTAATAGCGGTCATATCGACGACCCAGGTCGATAGCAATAAACAAATACAGACAATTATATAGCGGGACTACTGATATAGTCTGTTTTTAGTCTGTATTTAGACAGTATTAGTAGAAAAATGAAAGATCTAGATAGAAGAATTGAAAGTGGCAATCAGATTGGCAAACTGGACCAGCGAATCTTTGTTTGACATTAATTTTAGAGAATATGATACTTATATACGGAAACATTTCTATAGAAAGAGAGGCGGGGAAATAAATAGGTAAAAACTGTTAGTTCCTAGTTAACAAAGAAGAGATGGGCATGCTTCGATTGCACGTTTAGCGCAAGGTTTGTTCAGATTTTATTTTATATGGGACATTCACGACTGTTTTTTCATGTTGATGGATCTCCAATTTTTGGAGTCGATTTTTCTATAGTAAAAGTGAAAACAACTGACTCCAAATAAATTGTAAAATTTATAAGAAAATAAAGAATGTTCTGGTAGTGTTTGATCCCATATAAAAATCGAGGAACACGAGTTCTTATTGGATGAAAGATAGTCGGAAATGGTTAGATATAAATTGTTCAATCATTTCCGATTAATCTCCTTAAGCGCTAAACACACGAAGGAAAAACGGGCTAAAAAGATGTACAAGTTGAGTACCTGCTGAAAACAAGCCGCAACTGTGATCGTGGGAGTTGTTTTCAGGATTTTTTCCGTTTTTATTACATGCACAAAAGGAGAGAAGAAAAACGGCCATTCAATGAAATTCATTTAGGATCCGAAAAAAAAGGAGTGATCGACATAAGAAATGTTAAAAGCAGGATTTATGTATCCGTGGAATTGAGAATCTATATAATGCGAGAATCAATTAAATCGACAATTGATCCGAGAATCCATGAATTCCATGTATCAAAAGATTCTATATTACATCATTAATCATTTTTTTAATATGCAACATACATCGCACATTCCGTGATATAAAATAATACTAAATACACAAGAGAATATAGTATATTTTCATTATCTAGATGCAAAGAACCACGGATTTATAAATTATTATATTTCAAAAAAGGAAGAAAAACTTAATGACTCTTGGCTTAAAAGTTGGAGATGGCATAACGAAAAAATATAAAATGTGCAATTGATATTGTCGAACCCGTCCAGCTAAGCGAGTCATTATTTTTTTTTAATATTCAACGAGAATCGAAACCTAGAGCTGCTCGTAACACGCTCATTCAAGTGATAATCAAAATTATTGATTACTGTGGTGGACCCAAAAGAGTAATCTTATTTTGAAATTAGAAAAAATGAAAAAATCAGAACATTAAAGTAAATTAAACAAAATTTGATAAAATTAGATCAATTTGTATATTGAGATTTAAATTATAAAAAGGTAAAATATAAATTGATATCGAACTAAAGATTACATATAATGGCCGGCGATTATGCATAATCATTGGTATTTAAATTTTTTGAGAATCAAACTTTTCATTTAAAGATTTGTGGATCCACCGTTGAGTCGCGAAATATTGCCGAAAAAAATGGGGGGGAAAAGCTCGTTTAAATTGCCCATCGGACTTGCGAAGGCTCACCGACAATCGTATAATAACGTAACAGGAAGCGATAACAGTTTTTTCATAATCAAACATCGAAAATTGATCTATCAAAGGATAACGTTAATCGCCTTTTCCCATGGTAGATCACAATTGTACATTTCTTGTATGATCTCTATCATTTCTCTTTATTGTGAGATATAATACTGATAATTATTATTGTCTTCTCTTACTATGATTTATAATAATTAATATATGCGATGATCGAGGCTGGATCATATAGAAAAAAAGATATAAATACAAATTTATATTTGAATTAAATTTAGCATTTAAATGTTTGTTACAAATGTTTAAATACTAAATTTATATTTGAATTAAATTTAGCATTTAACGTATTTATGAAGCTGTAAAAGCTTAGCAAAATTCAGAAAGTGAGTACTATGATTCCGTCTAGATTATAAAATACAGTTTCTCTTATTTATTTATTTCATAAGTCGACTTATTTTCGCTATTAAACATAATATTCCTTTTTTATGTAAATTTATACATGTATATCGTATGGACATATATATTTTTATACGGATCAGTGATCTTTACTTCGTGATTTTTTTAACACTGCCAGAAAATAAATGCAGTTATCAATGAGATAATGGGAATTGCAATGACTGGCAATATATGAAAATTATTTACTTCTCATGTCCTTGAGTGATCAATTAGTATCAATTATTAATATTAACTATTAAATTGGTATCAATTAACATTTTTAAACACCATTAACATATTAATGGTACTGATATTAATTAATTGATATCAATTGTTAGTTAATATTTTAATTATACATTCAAACAATTTTCATCAACGATATTTAAAAAAAAAATAGCAAAATGTTTTCACATTCAAATGTGATGTGATAAGAGTGGCGTATCAATACAACAGAAAAATATTCGAATATATTTAAGAAAATACCCGAGTTTTAGAAAAATGGAGAAAAATCGATTAGATTGTAAATTCAAATTTTATTTATCAGAGAATATATATATATATATATGTAAAGATATATATATGATATTGTATAAGTATACACAGGTACATGATACAAAAATTTACAATAGAATATATAAGATATGAAAAAATACCAAACACAAACACATGGTATAAAAATACAATAAAACAAATTTTATATATTATATCGCGGAGACAACTGTAAAAGGAGCGAAAGATCAACGAAGTTATTTGAGTAAAGAAGCTCTTTTTTTAATATTATTGCATAGTACTGCAGAATTGAAGCCGCAGTTGGAAAAACTGCACTTTCTTAAACTGTAAAATTTTTGTAGAGTGCATGTAGTTTTACAAGAAGAAATGTTTCACAGTTCTGAAAAACTATTCCTCCTGCATGTCTTGTTAATTCTACAATGGTTGCAAATCCAAATATCTTGCTCCTTGTCAGTGGTTCATCCGTCGATATTGATATCGCCGAGACATCACGCGTGAATTTGCGTAAATCATCGTTACTGTATCGAAGAATTATTGGCATCTCAAGATAGCAAACATTAATTTTTTTCGTTTTGTTTACTTTTACATAATTAATAATTAATTCGCGAGAACATGCGTAACATGATAATAATAAACAATTATTATTGTAATATAATAAGTAAAGTTACATGTACTAAATGACAAATCTGTAAAAACTATTTTATTCGGATCTGTTTTAAGCGTTGATATATTTGAAATACGTCCGAATAAATAACGTTTTTTATTTAATATATATACATGTATTTACTTATTATCATAATAATAATCCATTATTATGATGTAGACTAGATATGCTAAATAATAAATAAATTCCGATTTTACCGTAATAATAGGGAAAACACAACCGGATTGTGTTCACGAAATTTTTGATACACGCGTTTTCTACATAAATGTTTGTAAAATATACGTATTTTACATATATAATGATAATATATTCGCGTTGTAATTAAATTAAAGCGCGTGTTCTCGCGTGTTACAATTTAATCGATAACGATCTAAGGACAGAGAATCTAAGCGAGTAATGATTTATTGGAAAATTGTGCGGTGTGATTTAATATCTCTCATGTCTTTACAAAAGTTTCAGGATATCCTTTTTTTTATTTTTATACTGTACAATTTAATAATTAAAGTATAAAAATAATGAATTTATATAAAGATTTGTGGGTTATACAAATGAAGCATTTCATAAGAGACTTTAAAGTAATTGGAAAAATTTTTATTGCCGTTTAAATCATCTTAGAAATTACATAGAGGCTATTTTAAATTTTATTAAATTTATTTTAGATAAATTTTTTATACATTTTTAAAAGTCGTAATAAATTTATTTCTTAAAATTCTTCAACCTTTAGATATTAAAATTTTAATAAACGTTAACTGAATAATACTTGTGTGTAAATTAAATTTTAACATATAAATTTGTTCTCAAGGAATTGAGTTAGATTATATCTAGTTGTATAACATTTTTGGAAATTTAAGAAAAATAATAGAATGAAAAAATGCAGAAATTTTATTTGTATAATTTTGTAATACATTTATACGTGTATTATAAGAAATGACATTGGCGTTGTGTTTTCCATTTAGGATAAATATATATATCATTCAACTCGAGATTTTTACAATTTTCGAAGATCCGGAAGCTTTTGTGAGAGATTTAAGGAAAAATTGGGAATGTGAAATTTTTCGCATAAACATTAAAAATAACGATTGTGAGACTGACCAATGTATTTAGCGGGTAAAACTTTTTTTACGATGATATGTATGTATGTACAAATACATAAATATCTCTAAATGTGCGTGTGTGTATAGAGGTGAGATTATACGATTAATTTTTCATTTGTGCAAATATTAATCGCGAAACTGTAGGCTACGACATAAACGACACGACTGCTATAAAATTAATATATTATTATTAATATATTATGTCGATCAAGAAATTCATTCGTCTTTCTTACATAGGTCTTTATGAGTGAAAAGTCAATAATGAAATTAAATAGTAACGAGAGACCGTTAATAAAACAAAATACGAATGGACTTTTTGATCAAGAAAAATCTATATATATATATATATATTATATGATTATTATTAACGCGCGTTATGGTTATTATTATTATTACATATATATATACAGAGAACGCATTTGTATATATATGTATGTATAAAATAATTCCAATCATTGTGTATAATTAGGGATACCTATTACATATTGTGTACATTTATAGGGGATATTATTAATATTATCATTACATTATATCGCGCTCGGCGATAATCTCGTCGGTTCTGATCGGTTGGCCGGAAAGCATTATTCCTTTCGAATCTTGGCCGGAATGTTGTGCAACGGACGGGACGATCGGTCCTTTTTATATAATAAGAAAAGAAAATACGCCACCTTGTATCCATGTACAACTTTGTAATAAATCGGTTTATTTGTAAACGAGCTCCCATTCTCTTTCGAGTCCGTTAATTTGTATCTTCCTACGAGACTTTTCGAAATCTATTTTTAGCGTAGAAAGGATTCGCCGAAATTTGTATAGCTTGACAACATGAAATTTTGTAAATTTCTAATTCGTTGTTTTCTACAGCCAAAGATATCGAAACGAGCTGCGTCGGAAGGGGCCCTGGATTTTTTTATACGGATCTGATGGCGTTTTAGGGTCGATAACGTAACGACTGACGATCCAACGTATTTCTCTCGCTCGCCCAGAGATGTCGACACCGTCGACCGGCCTTCGTGCGTGGACATGACGCTTTCACGGTCACGAACTGGCTCCTCTTTCTTTCGTCGAGTGTCTAATTGTAAGATTGTTGAGAATAATTGAGAACTCATTAGGAACATGATTAATCGCGTACGACCCCGTCTCGTGACCTTCGACGTGACCGATACGTTGCTGACGACCAAATTCGCGGAGCACTACGTCGAGATCGGCTCCCAGCACGGCTTACTTGTCGAGCCAGGAAAATTGGCGCGAAGTTTCAAGAAGAACTTCGCGCAGCTTAGCAAGGAGCACCCGATATACGGCAAGTACACCGGATTGGGATGGAAGGACTGGTGGAGAACGATCGTGCATAATGTGTTTAGAGAACAGCACGCCTCCGTGTCGACGGACACGTTGGACAAGGTGATATTTGTGATAATTATGGCAATATTAATTATTTTTACTGTAAATATGTTATGGCAGTATTATTTTTTTTTGCATTTATTATATAGAATTTTTTGAATTTAATTATATAAGTAAAATCATTTTATAACAGAGCTAAAACTTTAACATTGAAATAAATTCTCCTGCTTAGTTTTTATCCTTTTGCTTATATTCTATTGATTCTGTTGATACTGTTATTTTATTATTGGATGCAAAGAGAACTTTGGATTTCATTTATCGTTCTCTTCTCTAGGTCGCTGACAGTCTCATAAGGTGCTACAGCACCAGCAGATGCTACCACAAGTATCCTGGTACCGTTGATCTACTCAACTCCTTGCGGGAGAAGAATATCGTTATGGGAGTCATCTCGAATTTTGATCAACGGTTAGAGTCAATTCTCAAAGATTTTCAAATTCGTCAGTATTTCGCCTTTGTTTTGACCTCGTACGACTTTGGAATGGAAAAGCCAAGCTTGCCAATATTCGAGGAGGCATTAAGATTGACGAGACATCTCCGAACGGAGGAAATATTACCTCAAGAAGCGATGCATATCGGCGATGGAGTGAATAACGATTATTTTGGAGCAAAAAGCGCCGGTTGGAATGCTTTATTGATAAAACATGACAGTGAGGTTGATGAGAGTAAAGTGCCAAGAGAAGATGTTTTTAAGAGTTTGAAAGAGCTTCAAAGACACTTTGACACACTGTTTAGAACGAATTATGTAACACAATGATAATTTATTATTCAAAGAATATTTTAGATTTATTTAGTGAAAATGATTTATATTTAATAGCGATTTCTGTGCGAAATAACTGTGTCAAAAATTAGTCTGATAACAAAAATGAATAATTAAATATGCAAATTGGATATTTTATTTTTTGTTTTTTTTTATATTTACATGTTTATATCGATTTATGCAATTTTTATTTCTTTTTTTATTATCGTATTCTATATATACGTGTTTGTATATATTTCAGAATGTTTAATGCATATTTCAAATTGTAACATACTGTGTATATTATGGGTTTATCAAACGAATTTATTGAATATTTAAAAATAGAAAAAAATATATATATTAAGAATTGAATATATATAAATTTATAATTCTTAAGTATACAAATTCAAAGATATTGAAATATTATTTATAAGTATAATAAAATTTTGCAAATTACCAATATAATCAGAATTTTCATTTCACTTTCTTTTACTTGATTATATCGAAAGTTCGGATTTGTAAAGAAGAATATAATGAGACACAGAGGAAATGGTGAAAATAAAAAATCTTCGAAACTTATTTGCAATTTAAAAATATCGCTATATATATTAAATAAAATTATGATCACTGTATCGATACGTTCGCATGATATCATGTATAATTCATAGCACTGAGGTAAAGACTGTAAGTCGTAAACAAATTTTCATGAACATCAAAAGGACCCGAAAGGTCCGTATCATCAGAATTGTACATACATACACTCCGGTGTGGATCGCGTGTGTCGAGAGTGTCGAAGCATTTGAGATGCCCTGTATGCATACATACACACACAGATTACATATGTACAGTCCGACTTTTAAGCGTAGGCGGAGAACGAGCGTAGGAGACCGAGCCGTTGGGGAAGGGGTGATGCGAGGAGGGCCGGGAGGTGGACGCGCGTGCAAGCGGCGGCGTCGCGCCGTCACACACTCGTCGGTGGTCCACGGCGGAGCGAGCTCGCGCGCGCGTCGTCCCAGCATCCCGATCCCGTGGAAGGTTAATGGGAGATGCACGATCGATAACGATCGCTCGACGGCGGTGATCTTCGTCGATGGACGCGTTGCCTAACCTCAAAGACAGCCCTGAATATTCACGTTGGTTTCGCGAATAGCGTGGGAAGTTGCGCCCGAGTGTCCGGACAGAGAGAGAGAGAAATTCTTACCTCGCGGGGATAAAAATGAGAGGAGTCGCGATATGGGGCCTGCTGTTGCTCGTGGGAAGCTGCGCCGTCCTGGCCGATCCCGAGGCCGAGCCATCGGAGGAGCTGTTCAGTCGGCTGCAGCTACCAAAAAATCGTAATGAGGACAAGTGTTACGACGAGAATGGCAGGCCGCAGGTTCGATTGTTTATGTTATTTATATGCGTACTGAATAAAAAAAGAACGTACACGCTTTATTATTGTGAGGATATTTTCAAGAAGGAAGAATATTATATTTATATAAGCTATATTTCATTGCATAGAACTGACATGAATGAAATGTATTTGACAGAAGTATTTCGCAATACGCTTTCATTTTTTTTTTTTTAATAAAAATGAAAGGACAAGTATCTAAAGATATAGATAGCGCACATTTTTTTCTATGCAATCATTTTTTCTATCAATATATTTCATATATATTTTTTGTATTATTTTGCTTATACAACGCGTGAATAATCTTTTTATATAATTTTTTAAATCTTTTATATAATTTTTAATTATTATGTAACACAACTTTACGTGATATTGTTTTTTAATATATTTATAATTTTTTTTTTAAGCAACTTATTATATTTGCCAGTCTTTTTGTGTGTTATTTTATTCTTTCAAATAAATTTTCGTACAAATATTCATTTTTGAATAAATAGCTATCGAGAACTTTTCGCATCATTAATTAAATCAGTGTCGTTCGATTGCTCCGGATTTCGGGAGGATGTTAAGGTTATCACGGGGTTACTCCAAGTTACTTGAACCCGGAGATAAATTGTGTGGGCCACGATATAAATGAACAAGATATCATTCGCAAAGAACCCGCGAGATATTAGAAATAGAATTCTTTTTTATATAGGTCACGATTATTTATTAGTTGAAAAAATTAGACCTCATTTCTTATATTAGTATTTTTATATATAATCTAATTTTATATATTAATTTGTTGGAATATCTTTACAATATAAATTTGATCGTATTATATCTATATAGTATATCTGTAAAATAAAAGAGAGACATTTTTAATAACAAATTTAATAATGAATTTATATTAAGGCGTTGATACATGAAAAAATATAAAATGATATACCGTATAGAGAACTTATTATAATATTTTAGAATTTAACAGAATGTATAGCAGAAAATAACTGTAGAGAATAATATTCTTCAAAAGTAAAATTAAATTAAATGTCAAGAGTAAATTAAGTAAACGTCACTCTAACGGGACGCTGGCGTGTTCTAGAGATGTATACCGCCGTTCGAAAACGCAGCTTTTAACGTGCTGATGGAGGCGACGAACACGTGCGGCGAGGAACGTCCGATCGAATTCTGCAAGCAGACGGGCGTGCAAAAGAAGTCGTGCGAAATTTGCCGTCGCGGCGACCACTCGGCCGTCTTCCTCACCGATCACGATAATAACGACAATGCTACCTGGTGGCAATCGGACACCATGTACGAAGAGTACCCCAACCAGGTCAATCTCACCCTCCCTCTAGGTGCGTTCTTGTAATATGTCCGGAATATCCTGTAGAAAGATCTCTGTACACTAGGAGACGTTCGGTCTCTCCTCTGCTGTCTCTCTTTTTCTCTGTGTTTCTCTCTTTCTCTTTCTTTCACTTTTTCGCTCGTATACTACAGTTTTTCGCTCCCTCTTTCATTCATCCTACTTCCTTATCTGTGAGGATGTATGCGCGATGAGATAAATCATACAGTGTATAGAGGATGACGGAGAAATCAAAGAAGAGCTTGCTTTATAGAAGCGAATTTATTATGAATTTATTCTCGTATTCCTAACAATTGATTTAGAATCTATTTTGGGAGTTGGAATATTTTAACTCAAAAATCAAAATCCTTCAGTTCATTCATATATACAATTTGTCAAATTTCTCACAGGTGTGTTTGAGAACGTTCTCAGATTTATTATTTAATTGTTTTTAATTAAATGTCACACTACGCTATTTAATTACTTCATTGGTAATTTAATAATTCGATTAATTTTTATTTATAATGTCCTATAATACTCTAATTTTGCGTGTTTAGGAAAGACATTTGACATAACATACGTCAGAGTGCTGTTCGAGTCGCCCCGGCCGGAAAGCTGGGGTATCTATAAGCGGAAGAACGAGAAGTCACCGTGGGAGCCTTATCAATTTTATTCAGCGACATGCCGGGACACGTATAAGCTGCCCGAATCCAAAGAAACCATTCGCGGTGACGACACTCGCGTGCTATGCACCTCGGAATTCTCTGACATTTCTCCGCTCACCAAAGGCACCGTTGCCTTTTCGACTTTGGAGGGCCGGCCTTCCGCCTATTACTTTGAAACCAACCCCGAACTTCAGGCAATTAGCAATTAAAAATTATTCTTTCTTATATAAGAAAAACTCAAAGATTTTTATTTTATTTTATTTGTAATGCATATTCATTTTTGAGTTTATTTTAAAAATTGAATGAAACTTCTTTAAATGCAAGAAAAACTCGATGAAATAATTTTAATTCTATTTGTAATACATAATCATTTTGGAGTTTACTTTAAAAATTGAGTGAAACTTCTTTAAGTGCAAAATTAAAAGTTTTTATAGATTTTATCTATATTTATCATAACGGGTGATTTTTAATAGATGCAATTTGTTTTATAGGAATGGGTGCAAGCGAGAGATTTGAGGATCACTCTGGACAAGTTGAATACATTTGGTGATGAAGTTTTCGGCGACGCGCAAGTGTTGAAATCTTACTACTATGCGATAGCTGATGTAGCGGTCGGTGCGAGATGCGCCTGCAACGGCCACGCCGGAGAATGCGTAAACAGTACCAGCGTGGAGGGCAAAACTCGCAGAGTCTGCCGGTAATAAGTCTTATCTCTTAGCAATAACTTTTAGCGTATACACATACGCATACTTTGTCATTTGATATATTTGGAAATATAGACTGTGATGAAATATTTTATTTCCGAAAGAGAAAGATATTTTAAAAAATAAAATTATTATGTTCTATAATTAAGTTAAATAAAAATAAATTCATTAACAAAATTTATTAATAAAATTAAATTTGAATCTTTAAACTATCACATATAATAATCCCCTTGCGACTTTGTCATCTTTGATAAAATTATAAGTAATGCTACAATAAAGTTAAACCTACTAAACTTATTTGCAGATGCGAGCACAACACCGCTGGTCCAGATTGCAACGAGTGCCTACCTTTTTACAATGACGCTCCTTGGGGCCGTGCCACAACTACCGATGCACACGAATGCAAACGTGAGTGTAAACATTAGATATATTTTTTAATACAATTTTAAGAGCAATCATTAATGTACAACAGATTTTCCATATCAAATTCTTAATCTGGAAAATCGCTAAATAAATATTAACAATTATATAATAACTATATAATAAAGTATAAAACTATATTATAACTAATAATAAAGTTATTGAAATTAATGATTTTATTAGTTTAAATTTTAGCAAACGATTTAATTTAAAATACATAAAATAAATCTAATTTTAAATATTACTATTCAGTTAAAAGGATAATGAAAAGAAGTATTATTTTGAAATCCTTATACAACTTCATTTATTATTCTTTTCCTCATTATTCTTTATTTTTAAGTTTAATGTAATTAAATATAATTATTTTTAATTAGTTAAGTGGTTGCCGTGTTAATTTAATTTGAATCGAAAAAAAGAAATATGCAAAATAAAACCATAGTCGTGTAGAGAATTCCATAACTCTGTTGCACAAAATATTGCAGGATATGTAATATTATCCATAACGGAATTAATTATGAGAAACCATAATTGATCATGTAAAAAATTTTTTTATTTTTAATGTTTTTAATATTTAATATCGTAGAATTCTATTTGCAAATAACTTTTTTCTGAAATAACTGCATTTACGTTATGAAAAACTGCATCGTCGGTTTGGTCTTTTTCTGCATAACGTAGCACAACGTATCCAATGGGGAACACGGTGCGCGTTACAAAGACCATAAGCGACTGCACCTTTGCCGGTATTACCTGATACCAGCTTTGCCTTTTACGTTCATCTCCCGCTCTCCTAAGTGGGGATGCATGGCTTGTGGGGAAGGTACACGGCCGTTCAATGCACTTTTGTCTGCATTCGGTGTACCATACCGCGATACCGCGATAAAGGACACATCTGTCCACTGATTTAAAAAAATCCTCGAAATCCCGTATGATAAAAAACCTAATAAAAAATAGATTTTCGACGAATATCTGGAGAGCAATTTGAGCTAATCATGAAATCTAAAGTGACAGTGATCTGAGATGTGTGTAACGATTGATGTAGCAATTCGATAGTTATGAAGCATAATTAAAATTAAAACCACATAATTATATGATTAAAGTCGTAATCAAGTTCTAATAATATAAAAAATAATAAAATGAATTGAGTTATAATGTGTCGACCACTGTGAATGTTCTCATCGGAAAAATGAAATTGATCGCGTTGTTAATAATAGCGGATTGCATATTGCTGTGCACGTCATGGAATGAAATACGTCCTTGGTATTCAAAATCCAGTAATTATTTATATTATTTATAAAATTATGCATAATTACAATACATACGATCCCAATTAAATAACATTTTAAATGCAATTTGTATGTATATCTTCGTAAATTTTTAAATTTTAATATCTTCAAATTATATGACTAATATAATTATTAAATTCATTATTTATTTAATGGAACTTCTCAACTTCTTTCTGCATTATTTTTTTCTAACGTTATACGATAAATTTTAAAATTTAATGTTTAAATATTAAAGCATTTTTATGAGGAGGGCATATTTGGTGTTTTTTTTTATGCATTTAAAATTCCGCAATTATTAATCCATTAATTCGATCATCTATTACTTCTTTCAGCTTGCAACTGCAATGGATACTCGGACAGGTGTTACTTCGACAAGGAACTGTATAAGCTGACGGGTCACGGAGGTCATTGCTTGGATTGCCGAGCGAATCGCGATGGTGCCAATTGCGAACGGTGTCGCGAAAATTATTATCAGCGGCCCGAGGATAACTATTGCGTCGCGTGTAACTGCAATGAGATTGGTAATAACGCTATAATAATTACTAAATAATATAAATTATAATAATTGCGATCGTAGATTTGATATAAGAGATTTCGGATTTAAATTAACATCACGAAATTTTTCCCAATATAAATAGATTAGTTCAATTCGATATTAAACTCTCTCTTATGACAGTGTATAACAAATTAAAATATCATAAATTGCAGGATCGAGAAGCTTGCAGTGCAATAGCGAGGGTAAATGCCAATGTAAACCTGGCGTAACGGGGGACAAGTGTAATCGTTGCGCGGCCAATTTCTACAATTTTGGTTCGCAGGGCTGCACTTCCTGCGAATGCAACTTGTCGGGATCGGTGGGCAACGTTCCCAATTGCGATTCTATCTCGGGAGTTTGCTCCTGTAAGGAGAACGTCGAGGGAAAACGCTGCAGAGAGTTAGTTTTGCTATGCTATTCAACCAAACCATATTTTCTTTGGAAAAGAATATTAAAAAAGAATATTAAATTAAACTTATTAGAGATTTACACTTTAATGTATTACTAAAAAATAGTTGAGATATTATCTGTGCTAGATTACATACATATTATTCTCTACACATTCTTTTTTTAACGATGTTCCAATAACGATTCTTTGATCAGTTTGAAATCATTTTTCTGTTATCGCGAATCTGGTTTTTGTTAGTTAAACTCTGTTGACTTCGTTCTATTTTCCAAAGTCGAATAGCCGAAATTAATCCGAATGCCGAAATTAACTAGGTGCCGTCCAGGTTTCTTCAATCTGGCGGAGGACAACGAGTTCGGCTGCACTCCCTGTTTCTGTTACGGTCATTCCTCGGTCTGTCGACCGGCGACCGGTTACTCGAAGCTGCTCATCGAGAGTATGTTCGTGCGAGGACACGAGCGCTGGTCCGCGTCCGTGGCCGGTAATCCGACTCAGTTGCACTACGACGCACCGACGCAGACGATCTCGGCTACCGCGCACGATCGTGATAACGCGTACTTCCTTGCGTCCGATAAATTTCTGGGAGATCAGCGAGCGTCGTACAATCAGTATTTATCGTTCATACTGAGGATAGGGGAAACTGGTCCGGCTCCAACGGCGCGCGATGTAATTTTAGAGGGTGGTAACGGCGAGCAGATCACGCAGCCGATCTTTGGCCAGAACAACCATTTGCCGACCGTTATGGTAAGTAATTATTTTCACCTCATTTTCTCGTAGTATTATTAAATTAACGTGATTATCTTTGCAGTCTCAAGAATACCGATTTAAATTGCACGAGAAAGATAAGTACGGCTGGCAACCACAATTATCTTCTCGCACCTTCATATCAATTCTGTCGAACTTGACCGCCATAAAGATTCGCGGGACTTACACTCATCAAGGGCGGGGATTTTTGGACGACGTGAAATTGGAGACGGCTCATCGCGGCGTAGCCGGCGAGCCGGCCGATTGGGTGGAGCACTGCCAGTGCCCTCACGGCTACGTCGGTCAGTTTTGCGAGTCGTGCGCGCCCGGATTCCACCACGATCCGCCCAACGGCGGTCCCTTCGCCCTTTGTGTTCCTTGCAACTGCAATGGGCATGCCGATATTTGCGAGGCTGAGACTGGTAATTGAATTTTATTAGGTTTAAAAAAAAAAGAGAGAAACAAGTAAAACTGAATTGCAGAGATAAAACAATTATTTCTCATTTAATTTGGTCTAATTTTTTAGAATTATAATCTTCTAGAGGACGTGAAATTTGAGACAGATTTACGTCTTGTCGAATTATGTATCTAATTATTTTTGAAAAAGTGATAAATTCACATAAATGAATAGACATTCTAAAGTATTTTTCGAAATGTTCAATAATATTTCGAATACAATGTTTTCTTTCTATATTCTAGGGCAATGTATCTGTCAGCATAATACTGCAGGAAGCAATTGCGAGTTATGTAGTAGGGGATACTATGGTTATCCACTGAAAGGAACTCCGGACGATTGCAAAGCATGCCCTTGTCCCGATAACGGGCCTTGCATTCTTCTGGGCAACAATCCGGATCCCATCTGCTCCGAATGTCCTATCGGCAGGACTGGTAAGCATATACATGGTTTTTACAAATACATTCTTTAAATACTTTAACTTTTAAAATAATTAAAAAAAAATAATTCGATAAATAAATATTCCTTATGCTGTTCCTCCTTTTTCTATTTTTTTTTAAATTAAAAGTCATATGAAATAAACGTTCTTGTGCAGGACCGAGATGTGAAACATGTTCCGACGGTTACTATGGGAATCCTGAAAGAGGTCTCGCTTGCCGCCCTTGCGATTGCAACAACAATATCGATCTAAATGCAGTTAGAAATTGTAACCACGAAACGGGGGAATGTCTCAAATGCGTCAATAATACAGCAGGCTTTCACTGTGAGGAATGTCTATCTGGTAAATATAAAGTAAAAACTATTAACTTTTAGAAAGAACTATTATATATATTTTTCTAGATCTCTGTAATATATGATATGTGTGTTCAATTATATTTTATATTATTATGTTTTATATATTAGGATATTATGGAGATGCATTGTCGGATCGCAAGGAAGACGGATGTAAGTTGTGCCAGTGTTATCCACCGGGCACTTTGGAACTTGAAGACGGAAGAGTTGCGCCTTGCGATCAATTAACGGGAAATTGCGCCTGCAAGCCGCATGTCATGGGCCACAATTGCGACAAGTGCGAGGAAGGCTACTTTCACATTATGAGCGGAGAGGTAAAGTCCCCTGAATTAAAATTAAAGAATAGAGGCGATTTTAACGACAACAGATGTAACGATTTGTTAAACAATTTAATTAATGTGTTGTTTGTCTTATATAAAAAAAAATTGTGTTGCAGGGTTGCACGCCTTGTAACTGCGATCTTGAAGGCTCTTATAATCGCACTTGTGACCCGATAACAGGACAATGTCAGTGCCGACTTGGAATAACGGGTCAACATTGCGACGCCTGCGAGCCTTATCAGTATGGATTCAGCCGCGAGGGCTGCAAGCCGTGCGATTGCGACAGTATTGGCTCCCAGGATTTGCAATGTGACGCAAACGGACAATGTCCTGTAAGTGTCTATGAAAAATTAAATAGTTTGTATAAATAAATTGCAACGAAACGGGTGATTATTAAGATTTAAATTATGTTTGCTCAGTTACTTGTGATATAAATCAAACCAGTCATAAACTTACATACAAATTTTATTACATTATTTTGGGGGGGGGGGGATTTTTAATTTCTTTTTGGACAATAAATGTGCTTTGTATCTTTTACTTAATATTTTTGACGATTGTTGGCAGTGCTTGACAAACGTTGAAGGCAGGCGTTGTGATCGCTGCAAGGAGAACAAGCACAATCGTCAGCACGGCTGCGTCGACTGTCCCGATTGTTACAACCTTGTACAGTCGGCAGTCAATGAACACCGACAACGTTTGGCTGAGCTTGAGGACACTCTCTATAAAATCAACAGCAGTCCCACCGTCATCAAGGACTCGGATTTCGAGGAGGAGCTCAACAACGTTCAGGATAGAGTAAAAGAGTTACTGATTATTGCCAAGCAAGGATCCGGCAGTAAGTATTATTATCATTGTTATCACATCTAAAACCATCTATTTGAATTAAAAGTTAAATAATAATTATGTCTAACGAAAGTTAATAATGAAAAGATCTTCAAAAATCTCATTAAAACTATTATAGTGGAAATAATAAACATCTGATATTGTGATTTTGCTTCTAATATTATAAGTAAAAGGTTAATTTATCCTTGTCAGGTGAAAATAAAACGTTAGTGGAACAGCTAGATGAGTTGCGTGAGCAATTAAATACGATTGACAAGATCTATCAGACCGTGGACGTGACGGCGAATGATGCACGCGATATAACTGAAGAAGGTTTAACCATTATCAATGAGGCAGAGAAAGTCTTGGATAAAATCTATGATCAGCTAACGGTAAATGAAATGTTGCTTCTTTATAATAATTCCGAATATTGTACATCGTAAAATTTCAAATTTAGAAATGCATTATTTGGCACCATAATATACTTGTTAACATATATAAACGAAGTTTCTTTTCTCTTTCTTCTCTTTATTTCGAAAAATTCGATTACAATTTCACGAATAACTTTTATTTTAAGTTATTAAGTTATAGATTAGTTATTTAACGACAAATTAATTTTACGATGAATTAAATTACAGGATGCAGAGGATTACTTGGGTACGGATGGAGCGAGCGCTTTAACTTCGGCGAAATTGCGCGCTGAGCAAGTGGGCCAGCAGAATCAGCAGATGACGTCGATCGCACAGGAGGCACGTGTACTCGCCGAAGCGTATGTATTTTGCATTGTAAATATATGTAAATTTTGGACGGCTTTCATTTAAAAAAAAAATTAATTTTTTCTAGAGTTAATTCTAACTTCGATTTTGTTGTTTGTATTAACAATGAAGTTGTTCTCTAACCTAAAGATTTTTTTAAAAGGAAAAAATAACTATTTATAAATTATTATTAAATAAACTTCTAATTAGTTTTATCAAGAAGTTTTTGAGAATTGTATTGTTATAGGGTCATATAATATTCATTCAATATTGAGATTCTTTTTTTTTTTTGTTTAGAAATACCAACGAAGCCAAGAAGCTTTATATGTTGGCGGAGCAAGCGCGAAACACAACACTGGAGGCTTATAATCTCGCAAAACAAACGATAGCGAAATATTCCAATATAACGTGAGTAACACTTTCCTTTTTTTTTTCTATATAATTTTACTTTTTAATACTTGCGATCTTCTGATATAATCACCATATCTAGAGTGTAAAAAAAGGGATCTTCTTCTGTGTGCAGGGATGAAATAAGGGATCTGGAGAACAAGCTGGCACAATTGGAGGATCGTATGGACGAAGTGAAAAATCTCACTGCCATCGCAGCTACTAAATCCTCAGCTGTTTCGCAGGAAGCGTTAGATTTGCTGATCCTCGATTTATCGCTTCCTCCAGTCGATATCGAGCAATTGCGACAGCAAACGGAAAGCGTTAGCAGTGTGGTAATTATGTCATATAAATATATAGTTAAAAAATTATATGACATGAATTCGCGTAAAAAAAACTATACCAACTAATATAAGAAACAGTATAAAGACTAATGTTAATACAAAATCTAAATAATCTATGTGTTATGAAACAGAGCTTACAGATAAAAGAGCAGGCGCAACTCTTATTGGAGCAAAACGAGAATCTTATCAGAGAAATGGCTGAGAAAGTTGAAAGGAGCGAAGAACTTTTAGACAAAGCTCAAGATCAACAAGCCTCGACAGCCGAATTGTTAGCTGAATTGGATAAAGCCAATGAGACGGCAAATGACGCTGTTAAACGTGGCGATCAGACACTGAAAGAAGCTCAGGAAACCTTGCAGAAATTAGGAGGTGAGTTCTGTGAAAAAAAGAATTTGAAAAAAGAATTTTTTCATTCTATGAAATTTGAGAAACGAAGAAATTCACAAATTTATTCTTTTCTTCCTTTAATATGATTAATATGATTGATGATAAAATTTCTTCCTTTAATATGATTTTTGCACTGTATTAGAATTTGATGCTGAGGTACAACGTGAACGTGTTAAGGCTCAGAGTGCTTTGAAGGACATCGAGCAAATTGAAGAATTGATCAACGACGCTAATACGCAAGCCAGAGAGACGGAGAGAGTGCTACATTCATCGGAAGGTAACGCTAAAAACGCACGCGAAATTGTGCAAAACGCTCAGGTAAGAATATTAAAATTAATTAATATAAAAAGTGCTAAATTATTACATAAAGTTATTACATTTTTCTAGCTTAACTGAAATAGTATACTTTAATATATCTTTTGTTTTTATCTTTTTATATTTATTTACTGATATTTATGTTTATTCTTATACACTTGTCTATTATTATATCATATGTACTTTATTTCATAGTGCATAGTATATTATTTATTATAATAACATTACATCATTACATTTTATTTGTTATTACAGACTTATGCGGATAGAGCAAGTACTAGTGCAAACGATATTAGAGTGGAAGCGAATAAAACTAAAATCGAAGCTGTACGGCTCGGAAACGAAGCCGAAAAGTTGCACCTTCGAGTTGACACCACGGATTCGATGATCCGACAGTATGAAATTCAGACGACCAAGGACGCCAATATTACCGCCGAGGTAAAAATTTAATTTATTAAATTAGATTGAGGAAAAAAGACAAGAGATAAAATATTATTAATTAATCGGGCTATAGCTATCTTTTCTAATTTAATTACTTTTCATTTAAGGATGTTCTGGCTATATAATTTCATATTTCAGTAACTTTTGTCTGGGACTTTATAGCCAGAACATCCTTAAGACTGAGGCAATTTTAAATATTTAAAATTAATGTTTTTAGGCAAACTATAAAGTTGGCCAGGCGAAAACCAACGTGACTCTGGCGTCGCAGCAAGTTGATAAAGCTTTATTCGAAGTTGCCGCGATCATCAGAGAGCTCGAGAATCTACCAGAAATCGGTAAATTTCCAAATTCCTTTACGCGATTATTTGACTTTTAAATTTCAAATTCTAACGTTTCTAACACGTACAGAAATTTATTTCTAAGTTATGCGTTCTATATTCATAAATGTTGACTGTTAAGTGTATATTATTGGTTATTGTTAGTAAAATCCAATTCGATAATTTTTTACGCAAAGAATTTAGAAACTTTAATTTTGCAATTTAGACGACGCAGATTTGAATCGCTTAGAAGAACGTCTGGTTGCTGCTGAGAAAGAAATTAAAGCCGCAAATCTGGATCAGCGAATTCGCACATTGACGGACGCGAAGAATCTGCAATCGCAGTGGGTTAAAAATTACGAAGATGAGGTCAGTAGATTGCGAATCGAAGTGGAAAATATCGATGATATTCGAAATGCTTTGCCAACTGATTGTTATCAGCGTCTCCGTCTGGAGCCTTGAAAGAGTCTTGAGTTTGCATTATCTTACGTCTTATTCATTTTTGTGTCATTTCTTAGAAGTATATTATAAACTATACATTTTAAGTCCTGTGTATCCTTAGTTAAGGCTCGAGGATTTTAAAATCTTTTTAGGTCGAGGATCTTTTTCAGATCACTAAAACTATTTTGTTAAAGAAAGAATATTAGAATTTTATAGTACGGTAATATTATTTGAAAATCCAGATTAGTCTTTTGATTTTCCAGCAGTAAGTAAATCTCTTAAATAATAGGATAAAAATGACCAAGTTTTTAAAGAAATCTACTTAATAATTTTAAACAATAATGCTGAACTTACGTAGAGATTTTTAAATGATAAAAATTTTGTGATTCAAGGATACGATTTAGAAATTATTGAATAGACTTTTGATAACATATTTTTTTCGAAGAAATAAACTTTTTATAATTCCAAATGCCAAGCTTCTTAAATAATCTACGTAATGATTGAAAAAGCACTTTGCATGTTAGGATAGGAACAAATTTTGTGCATAGATGCGTGGTGCACACAGTGGCAATAATAAATATTTCATACCAAAGATTTTTTTATAGTTTATACGTTTTCGGATTTATCACCATTTATCATTCAATTTGCATTTCTTCTCTATTATATATTTGTTATAACAACTACTAATCATGTATAAATATGTATATAGATCTGTATACATCCGTAACATGTAACTGCCATGTCAATGCATGTGTTAGTGCATTATTTGCAATGATTTAGAATTTAAGAAAACGATTATGTTAATTTTAGAAGTGTTCTTCGGCCTTTACAAAATAGTGGAACAATGAGAAAGAGAGTACTTAACGTGAATAATCAAAATAGTATAATAAAGCTATTTCTGGAATGATATGAGGAGACAATATAATCGATATATAAGTTAAAATCTGTTTTTGTAAGTGCCAAGAGATTTTCCTTGTGTCTTGATCTATTGTTAATGCCATCGCTTATGAAACGATGGCGTTAGCAACGGGGATTAAGACATGAAGAAAACGTGTAAATCTCTTTAGCACTTTTAAAGAGAATACCCTATGAAAGTGAAAGCCTTAAGAGCATAATCCGTTTTTACATTAAAATAAGAATAAAATAAAAGAAAGATCTATTTTCTCCTGTAATATTCGTTGAAAGACATTGAATGAAATATATTATATATATATAATATATAAAATATATTATATATGAAATATATATATATATATATATATATAGAATAATGATCATCATGTAGCATTTAATTATCATCCATATCGTTGAATTTTGAAATTTCCTAATCACGCAGACTAGTTCACGTATGGATTATATTTTTATAATAAGCAAGATAGATAAGCTAAGAGAGCATTTTTTATATGAGAACATTCTACAAATTGTAATGTTTGAGGACAATAAATATCTCGAAAGTAATTACAAGGACTGATGTTATCTCATTGAATGCATGTTGTATAAAAGAATAAGAGTACTTATTAAGCGGTTAACATTCATTCGTTCTTTCATCGTTTAACTTATTGGAAAGAAAGTTATTACAAAAAAGTAATTGTTAGAAGTAATGTTGTATTTTCTCACCAGATGGCTAATGCGTTTCAGTAGGGAGAAACTTCAAATCGCGTACATGCATGCGCCGTTGTGACAGTGATGACAGCTGTTCAAGGCGTCCCAGCTGATTGTATTGTAAGCCGTGATCTCTAAGCATCACATAGGGTTGATACGATCGCTTTCACGGATGTCGTTCGTTATCCTTGTTCAATACTCGAACAAGAAGGATAACGAACGACATCTACGTCAGGGGTTGCATGGACAAATGCGCCCTTCAGTCAGCGTATAGAAATTATTCGTAGAAATCGTACAAGTATTTACATCCCCTTTAAGATCGAGAAAGAGAGAGAGAGAGAGAAATGGAGGAGAAACAGATGTATTTTCGCTGTTTGATGTTATTTTATTTCCGAAAAGGGAAAAGCGCGTTGAAAACGAAAGAGAAAATATGTAGCGTGTACGGGCGCGATGCCGTGACCGAGCGTGTGTGTCAAAGGTGGTTTAAGAAGTTTCGTGGCGGTGTAACGATAATCAAGGACAAGCACCGGCGCGATCGGCGATCGACCGTCACCGATGACGACGAAATGAGATCGTTAATCGCGAATCGGTACACGACGCGGGAGATCGCCAAGATAGTCAAGATACGGCACGGAACCGTCATCGACCGTCTGTACAAGCTGGGATATGTGAATCGTTTGGATGTTTGGGTACCGAAGAAGTTAAGCGACAAACATTTGATCGACCGCATTTCCGTTTGCGAATTGTTACTCCGACACAATCAATGTTACCCATTTTTGAAACGACTCATAACGAGCGGTGAAAAATGGATTAGCTATTATAAGAAGAAGAACACCGCGAGCGAACAAGCCAGAGAAGAGTCGTTGACTTCAAAAAGGCCTAGGCTTAATTGGGAGAAGTTTATGCTGTATATTTGGTGGGACTGGAAGGGTGTCGTGTATTACGATCTCCTTCCGGAACAAACGAAGAACACACGGCTTGATGCGGACAAGTACTGCGCCCAATTAGACAAACTGGAGAAAGCTATTGCGGAAAAACGGCCAGAATTGAGCGGTGCGGATGGAAATGAAAAGGTTTTGTTCCATCATTCCTTTAGGCCTCACACTTGCTTAACCACTCGGAAGAAATTATTGCGACTCGGCTGGGACATTGGACCGCACCCAGCACATTCACCGGATATTAATCCTTCAGACTATCATCTGTTCCGTTCCTTGCAAGGCTTCCTTAATGGTGAGACGTTCACTTCTTTGGAGGACTGCAAGAGTCAACTTCAACAATTCTTCGTCGAGAAAACACCCGAGTTCTACGAGCAAGGAATTATGGAGTTGCCTGAAAGATGGCAAAAGATTGCAGAAAACAATGGCGATTATATCCCTATTCCTAATGAAGCTGTGCGTGATGATACTGACGATACTGATGATTAAAGCTGTTTGTAAGTACAAATAAATTTGCTCCAATTTTAAGCTAAAAATACGCCATTACTTTCCTTTCAACTCAATAAATAATAATACTACTTCTATATTTTTTACAGTTATTCACGAAGTTGATAAAATGTTTTCTTTAATCAATTTGTATATTATTGGAACAATAAATCCGAAAGAAATAATATATCCGAATAAATTTTAAATTTTCAAAATAATATTAAATTTTCTCGATCAACTTCGTAAATCATTTTATACGTTATCTTAAAAAAAAAAGAAGCATATATATGATTGGAGATGTTTTGTTAGCGAAGAAACAATTTTAATATATTTTATATTACACAACATTATTATAATTATAATATATGATATGAATGCTTAAATAGTTTATATAGGCAATTATAGAAAATACTGTTATGTACTTATTAACGATAAATGACACTTAAGAGAAGACCATTATAAATTATTGTAACTCTGTATTTATTTCTATTCATAAAATCTCGCTATCAGTAATAGGTCAAACGGACTTAGATTACATTTAACGCTACAAAAGTAATTTTTTATTGTAGGAAAGGAGAAAAGGGGGTAAGAAGCTAGAGGAGACACGAGAGATGATTCATTTAATTATGAATAAAATGATTAAAAACACCAATATAGCAGTCAACACTCCAATGGCTACCCATTGACCCCGATCTAAAACAAACGGAAAGTAACATCACATGCGTCACTCGAGACTCTTACTAGATCGATATGAATGATTTACCAGATTAAAATGCGATAATGTTTCTATGGAGATACTGGTATCGTGATTAACGATAACATCCTGACCACCTGATACTAGACAAAGACTACATCGAGATTTTGGAATAATTTTTAACACCTACATTAAGTTTGCTCGCAAAAAAAAACATGGCAAACATATTTTTAATTTTAATTTTATATATGTAAAATTATATTTATGGTAAATAAAATAAAATCTATAAGATTTTGATGAAATCAATTATAACATTTATATAATTACTCACGAAATTATGAAATATGTACATATATTAAAAACTTTATAAACTATTTAGGAACGTAGCACATATTATTATTTAATTATTTTATTGCATTCTTTCAGTACACACTACTTTAAAAACTTTTATAGGATTTTTAAAATTTAACTTCGTATAAATAGATAATTTCGTGAGAAATCGTAGATATCAATTTAAAAAAAAATTAAGGAAGCAGGAATATTTACAGTTGTTTACAGCTCACAATACAAATTGGTTCTTGTGTTTTATTCGTCAATGTATTCTATTTTCTTCTTTTTTTTCACAATTGGTCGTCGACGAGAAAAAAAAAAGATAACAATGATACTACGTCTTCATTCGATTACAATTACAATCTACGCTCTCTCTCTCAATTCGCAGACATATTAATTGTCTCGTGCAACTGTCTTCTCCAACAAAGAAATATATATAATTATTGTTATACGTATATATGTATTTTAACATTTTTCTTATATAGTTTTTTCAATTTTGAAAATCTCTCATTCTGATTGTGAAGATGTTATATTTCTTCAATTTCAAGATAATCTCTAATAAAATAATTTGTACAAGATTCTTCTGAGATAGATTTACACTTTTGATTTATTTAATCTTTAAATTTCTTGATTTAAACTTTCTATTTTTTGTGTTTCCCGATTCTTGAAGTCTACAATTTTTCACAACTATTTTATTCATACATTTTCTTAAATGTTTAAATTCTTAAGAAAATTTAATTTCTTAGACTTCTAATATTATATGCTTTTTTTAATTCTCAGATTTAAAATTTTACCTTTTTATACCTTTGAACTTTCTTAACTTTTTACTTGGAAAAAAAGATTCTTATCTTTCAAATCAGCTTTTTTGCAAGATTTTAAATTGTTCAATTATTTTTCATATTCATATGTTTTCTAAACTATCATGTTGAATCTTTATCTTTTCTAAATTATTTCATTTACTTATGCATTTATTTTTTCAATCTATTCACGAATATAGAACTGAAATACATCTTTCGAGATTATCCTGTACATTTCTCTAGTGCTTAAGTTTATGTCGAATAACCACACTATTCTGCAACATACAATTCTACGAACAATAATCCCACGGATATCTGGTCCGTCCCGATTTTGATTGACTACATTCACATTTGTCAAAAGAGGGCTCGATATCTTTGGTAATTACCATTATAACAAACTACGTAAACTTACGTAGCAACAGTTAAAATTAATTAGGTCTTGTGTAATACTTCTCTAAAATTTACACTGGCCGTTATAATATATTCATCTACAATGATCTATGCCACAAAATATTATTCGTCTGCATCTAAAGGATCTCTTAATTTTATTTTCATCGTTATTTTATGTCTACTTACAATTAGTGCTAATTGTAATTAGTGGAAAAGGCATAACAAAAATGTAAAACAGTGATTAATGTCATTGGACCAAAACAAAAAATGTTAATATTTAGATTAGTTACTTTTATTAGCACGAATAATTTATAAAATTAATCTATTATTTACTAAATATTTCTAAATTATTTCTGGGTATTAGAATTAAAAAAGAAAGCTATTAAATTATCTCTAATTATTAAATATTATTAGATCAAAATGATCACCAATTATTATTAATATCAGCTAGCTAATAAATTATTTACTAAAAATTATTCAATTATACAAGATATAATCAAAATATATTATAAAAATATATCTTAATTTTAAAAGTATTAACAGTAATCAAATTATACTATGAAAATAATTCAATAAGAATTCAATTAAAATATAAATAACAGAAAATATGTAATATAATTAATACAGTGGCACAAAATAATACTTTTTAAATAATTTAGACATAATTTAGTAAATAATTTTTTGGAATGGTGATATTAGTCCACATTATACAACAGCTAATCTTGCAGTAATATGTTACATACATTACATGTAGACTACCCAACATGTGCAACATCTCCCTCTCTTCAACAATAGAGTTTTTAAACAAATTTAAGACTCATCTTTTTCTAATTTAATGGGAGATTGTTGTAAAACTCTAATTTTTAATTTCTAAGCATTCCTAAAATTGTGCTTGTTACATAAAACGCGAAAATTCCGCTACAAATATGTAGAATTAATTATATTCTCCAGATTTTAAATGACCACTTTCCTTCATCTAAACAATAATCTAAGGGATTAAAAAACAATTCAATGGCATCAATAAAAAAGTACTGTAACATTTTAGAAGTATTATTTGTATCTCCTTCTATACACATATATGTATGTTATATATTTTATTTTATATATTTATCTTTTTATATTTAGCTTGCGTTTTTATTTAAATTAAGGTTGAAAATGTATCCGAAAATGCAGTTACAATATCTTTTATTGGTACCCTTGAACTGTTTAAAGGCGCAGGACAATTAGCACCAATTAATCGCTGGAACACAAAAAACAATTGGCGATCGTGTTGGATAGGGAGGAGAGAGAGGAGGGTTTGTTATCAGAGACGAGATCAGTGACGCTGGATGTCACCGGAGTAGTAGGGGCGGGAATGTAATTGTTATAGTTACCATTACTCATGTGCAGCACCTTGGCCATCTTCTTCATAGTAGCGTCCAACTTGGAATCTGTCGTCTCTAACTCATTCCCGTATTCATCCAACATCCTGTAAGGATTTTATCTTGATGTTGTCGTAATGATAATAATGATATATATAAATAATAATCTAATAATAATTAAACTAATAATTAATATATATTTCATTATTGTCAACAGAGTGTTATCGTTATATGTAATTTTTAATATTTTACTTGCAAGGGATCATAAAGTTTGATTATGGTATTAATATTCAGTGTAATTTTTTTTAAGCAACTCTAAAGAACGTAATAAGAATGACATTTGCTCACACAGCTTGTTCGTCCAGTTCACTGTTGATTTGCCTGGATACTGTTTTTAATGTGCCGACTGTTTCCCCAATCATGTCTAACTGTTCGTCCTGCTGCATTATCATAGAATTCTGCTGCTGAATAGTATCACTGAGAAACTGTCTGTTTGGACTATCTATTTCGTTTTCTAGCTTGCTGTATTTAGTAGTGCCATGATTGGCCGGCACCCTCGCCGGGCTGTTGTCCAAAAGCGGCTAAAAATATATAATAAACTAAGTATCGTAATGCAAGTGTCAATAGATACAACAAAATCATTAACAAATTCATATTAAATTCACTTATATTTATATACATTTTCAGACCATACGTGTCACATATTTAATGTTTAAAATTTGATAATTGCGAAGTCATTAATAAAAGAAACAAAAATATATGGAATTTATCACAAATTAAATTAAAAGCCAAGGCTAAAAATTGTCTCCTGCGAATTCTCGGAGATACGATTTTCTCCGAGACAAATTCTAATTACTGCGAAACTTAATCGAGCTTCGATAATGAAAGGTTTGAATACCGTGTATACCATTGTCGTTTACGAGTGTTGGTAGACCGATTTATCAATTCCACAACGCGCGAACTGTCAAAATAACGCTAATTGACAAGACATGACGAATCAGTTTGTTGAGGTTAGAGTTACTGAGTCACTGCGTCAACTAATGTAGCAAAATGATAATGTTCAATACCGACAAAAAAATTGGACGCAGTACCGACAGATGTCACTGTCGCTGAATAAAGCTGAAAACAGCTGCGAATTGCCTATGTTTGTAAACAATTTTAATTTTAACTTGAAAAAATCCGCTTTAAATTTGGTGAAAATAAATAATTGAGAATTCGTCTTATCTCAAAGATAAGAAAATGAAAGCCTACTTTTATTAATTTAGCATTAATTCCTGTATAAAATAAACAAAGGGAAATAAATAAAGGAAAATTCGCAATTGAAAACTGCGAATGCAGATTCAATCAAGTCTTAACAGAAAAATTCGTATTCGATTTAAGTTGAAATTCAAACTCGAATTTAGGTTTATGGCTTTAATTTGCGATGTGCTAATTATTTAGATTACGAGTGTTTTTGCAAGAAAACATCAGACTTTAAAAAAAAAATCCTTACGTCCATAAGAAAGTACAGGTTAAATCGTGAAGAATTTAAATTGAAATGCACTCCTTTGAATTTTAATCTGTATAGCATATTATGGTCATTCAAGACATACAAGAAGTATTTCCATGTGATACAAAGTGCTATATTAAATGCCATAGAAGAGTATGATGCGTAAGTGCTGTACATTCTTAATAGATAAAAGTTTAACGATAGATCATTTGTCGACATTAGTTTTTTCATTCTTTGCAAAATGATCGAAATTGACAGATTTTTGCTGAACATGCATATATTTCCCGATTCATATCTTTCTCACTAATTTTTACTCTTTACTTAATTTCTTTTATCGTCTTTATTCTTTTTTTTTGTATTTCTTTCTTTCTTGTTAGATTATTCTGATATACTGTTTACGTTATTCGATTGCAACGTATTTTCGGTAGCAACGTATGTATATGTAATACAATCTAATACCTGGCATGCTACAGCTAAATACAGTTAATGATACAGATATGCCGGGAATATTATAACGTAAAGCGAAACGCAATGTATAATATATACAAACCTGTCTCGCCGTGCTGTCGCGATCCCGGCTCCTGCTCAAGTTCAATTTGTCCTTCATGATCTGCGAAAGGTTTAACAAGCGAGTAGCATTAAGGTGATATTAGTCTCGCAAAACGCGGGCGCTTCCGTGAACGTGGGTTAATATAATGTAAGCATTGCGTGGCTATGAATCGTAATAGCAAAGATGTAGCGAGATATAATCGCAGTGATTATGTACAATAAATTATACTACTAAACATTGTAATTTATCTTACGTAATGATAGAGTGATTATCGAAAAGATATTTTGAAAGTGGACATTAGAAATTTAATAATCGTAGCGCGGCGACAACTTTCAATTGATTGTCACACAGAAATCTCGACATTTATCTCCGCATACATATAGAACGGTTATATTAAGTATACGAGATGTTTAATTAATTACCTTGACTTCGTCTCGCGCCTGCTCGATAAAGCTCCGCTGAACGGTCAGCTCCTTGTTGTCGATCTTGAACTTTGTTGGGTTCTTCTCAACGATACGTGCACACACACACACATTAAGGACGATATAGAAAATTCAGATTCGATAGAAGATTAGATTTTAATTGGATACGAATTTCAACGTTTGAATTCCTAAATATATATCCAAAATTCAAACTCGAGCGCATTTAAGTACGGATTCGAAGTCAAATCCAAATCTCAAGTACGTTCACGCGGATCGAATTCCAAATTCGATTACAGCAAATTGGAATGAGTTGCAGATTGAAAAAGGATATAGATAGTGTCCTCGAGATCGTCGAGGTCCCATTCGATGGAACGAAGCGCTTTCCGCAGCTCGGTGGTGGTCCAATCGAGTTCGTCCGTACGGGAGATCGCTGTGGCCGAGCCGCTCAGCGGTATACCGCCGGTCGGCGACGCGATCGAGACATTCTGCAGCTCGCTCCAGCGCCCGTACAAGCCGCGATTCTTGTTCAACGCCTTGCACACCTCGCTGAAACAGTCCAAGCCAATTAAGACGCCGCCGGTTACGTTTGATAGCCTTATATCTAAACATTCGCACAATTATAAAGCATAAGCATATGTAAATCAATCGACGATGCGTCGATTAATATAACATGGCAAGTTTAAAGTCCAAAATCACAATTCGAATTTTAAATTCAAAGTAAATCTGATTAAACTCACATACATTTATGCTTAAGTACACACGCACATTTATGTTCATCTAAATTCACATTTATATATAAAATAATTTAGCTTTATGAATACATTTTTACACAATTATGCAAATTTACTCAGAGTGCAAGATCTGTTCTTTTTCTACTATCTGTTCCTTTCTCTTTTAAATTTCTGCCTAATTATTTATATTTAATAATTAGACAATTGCCTTTGCGATTCTTCATTTATGTATATAACAACTCTTGCAATATTTCATATTACGTTATATTATTCATTATAACGCAATTACGTAATAATGCCATGTTTATGCAATAATGCTTTATTAAATTTGCTGACATTTGTTATTTTAAATTGCAGCGCTAACTTTAAATAAACTCTGCATTAAATTAAATTTTATTAAAGGAAATTATATATTCTTTCGCTCACGTTCGAGGGCTCTATTAAATTATTACATTATTTAATAAATAATCTAATAATTATTGAAATAATAAGACATAATAATAAGGTAATATCAATAATTATATTATCCAATAATTATTGAATTATTTAATAACTATTAATTATTCAATACTACGCGAACTGGTGCTCGATTAGAAAAAAAAAATCATAGATTAAAATATCTGCGATTGAGAAGTGCCGATCCGCGCGGACCGCTCCGTTGTTTCTTTCGCCGAAAGAATCGCGCCGACAGAAGCTGTCAACAGACGCTGTCAACGCGCAACGTTCTGCAATCTGCAACATTTATACGGAGGATCCATCACGCGTATCGGTCTGTCACTGTCCGAGTGTTGTCCCTGATGTCGGGGCAATATGTCAGCCGGAGATAACTGTCGCGCTATCGCGAGAAGCGATTTCCTTAAAACAAGAAGAGTCGAGCGATAACGTCCCGAATTAAAATCTGCTATCTCGCGTAAATTCACGCCTAATCCGGCGATATCGCGGCGATACGGGATCTTATCGGTCGGCGGCCGTGTGTTATCGGCGTGTTTGCAAGCGCTCGCTCCTCCCCCGCGCGCGCTCACTCATCGCGCCGCGCGCGATCCCTACCCTCCATTGCCCCTCTTCAACCCTCTCCCGAGAGAGGAAAATATCCACGACGATGACACACTGGGGATTCACGCGTACTCGAAAAAAGAGACGCCGTTCCTTTTTCCTCTCTCTCTCTATCTCGTCGCGATTCGCGCGAGTTGCACCCGTCGCGATCGCGCGGACGGAAAATCGATGGCACTCTCTCGACGGCACACACGTTCCCCGCGGCGCACTTACTCCTTGACGACAAAGAACGGGTTCTCCAGCGTCATTCCTCCAACCGCTCCGTCTTTGAATTTAAAGCCTGGACCGCGGCCTGGCGTCTCGCCGCGACGGCCGCGCGGCACCCTCGGTGGAAGCGCGCTCGCGCCTCGGCCGCTCGCTCATCGGTGGGGACGACGAGGAGAGTCTCGAGAGCGCGACCGGAGGTCCTCCGCCGAGGAGAACGGCGCGCTCGCGGCTGGGCCTCGCGTGCGGCTGGGACCCTCCGCGGTGCGCGACGATCCCGTCCTCCGGTTGTCTCCGGTGACTAGCCTCGCGGGGTGCCCAACGCGGCGCGCGGACGGTCGGTGAGTCGTGAGGGAGCGCGGATCTCTCAGAGTGGTGGAGTGGACTCTGCCCCGCACTCGCACCGTCTCGCACTCGCGCGCGAGCTACCGTGACGTCTGCTCCGGCTCCGGCGCCGCGCATCGGTATTTATGCGACTCAACCCTCGTGGACGCGCGCGCCCCGTCGCGGCGCGTCGCGGCGCGTCGCGGCGCGACGACGTGCGACGACGCGCGCGATGGCGGCCGGCCGCGATTATTGATTCGCCGCGCGTGAACGTGCCGTGCCGTTCATACCGCCGCGATGACGCTTTTGCGCGCCTCATTTTTGGACTGGCGGTGCATTATACAGTCAATTATATGTATAATGTATTATCAGAGAGAAGCGTGAGAGTGGTCTCGTCGACCTTTTGCGTGGAACCGGCGATCTCTTCCGTGTCCTTTAATACGAAGCATATATGCTTTCTCGAGAAGATCTTATTAATAAAACATTCTAGAACATTATTGTTACATAATAATTAACGAACAATTTTTATTTTTTATTATGTTTTATCGTAAGAAATAAGTTGCCGCGCTTTATACGTAAATTACTTATTTGTCATAATAAATTTGGAGTAATTTTAATGTTACATTATAATTAAATAATATATTATTTAAACTATAGTTTAAATTTAATTACGCATCTGTGGAGATGCACAAAGGATCATAAATATTGTTAAAAG